TTGCAGTAATTGAATACCATCCAAGAACAACTATACTCGCAGACACCCTATGCCCCCACGTTACATCGACATCGACGAGCCCCAGCCGGGAAGCTCCGTGAGCCCTTTTTTGGTCAGCTTTTGAACAACGCAGATAATAGTCACGATCCTTTTTGGAAAACTTACAGCCCAACGTGTCCTCCTTGACAATGTCCTTGATCTTGCACTGGTTGGCCACCGACATCTGCTGCTTCTTAATCGAGCCGCAGCCGTCGTAGAAACACTCCGACTTGTTCATCGCCCGCTGCAGCGCGTCGCCCTTCCACCCAAACATGTAGTCGGCGTGCGTGCCGTAGCTGTTGCCCTCGAAGCTCCACACAAACGGGTTGGGCGCGCCGCTCTTCCACTGGCTGTTGAACTTGCTCGTGTCCCAGACCGTCTCGAACGTCACCTGCGGCACGCGCACCGGGTGCGACGACGGGCAGGCCCCCGCGTTCGTAAAACCGTCCGAGTTGACCGTGTTGTACATGTGCGACTGGTGGTCGGGGCTGTCCAGGTTCTTGCCGTCCCAGCAGGCCGGGAAGTGGTGCGTCGTGAAGATGCCGCCCGAGCACGGCTTGGTCGGCATGTCGGCCGTGATGGCGCCGCGGCTGCCGCCAGACATGCACTGGTAGCTAAGGCCGATGTGGTTGCGCGTCTTGCTGGAGGGGCTGCCGACCGTCATGCGGAACCCGGGCGGGAACGCCGTCACAGGCTGCTGCTTAAGGTTGTCGCGCGACAGGTCGTACTGTGTGTAGTACACCGTCAGGCCGCCCTCGGCGCCGTTGGAGCCGCCCAGCAGGGGCTGCACGGGGATGTTGGGCACGCGGTGGTAGCTGCCGTTGTCTGGGCTCTTGAAGTACAGCACCGCCGTCCAGTAGTTGGAAAAGTCCTCCGACATCTGGCACGTTGTGCACGACGCCCGCGAGGACACATCACCTGTCATCGTCACGTTGAAGGCGTTGCCGCCGACAATGTGGTGCACATGCGCCGAGGGGAACGCGCCCGGCTGGCCCGCAGGATCGAGCCGCTGGTAGATGAGCGTCGAGCATGGGAACCGCAGTCCGGCGTACGCCGGAACGGCGAACGCCAGAAACGCGGCAGAGAGCGACTTCATTGTGATCAGTCTTTGCTGGAGAGGTGCAAGTACAAAATGTCAGTGAGGAGGGAAAGGAGTAACGCAGACCCGCCTCTCGAGGCGACACGACGGACGACAGCCCTTCCTTAAATGCCATGGCGATATGCCTATACCTGAACCTTGGTTAGTTTTTTGCATTCCTGCATCCTGTTTTGTTTCGTGGGTTGTTCTCTATCGGTCGTATACCGTGTCGTGGTCATCTAAATGTCCGTCTGGTTTACCCGGCTATATGGCCGTTTGATTACAGTTGATTGCCAGTGGCGACCAACAGCAGTGCCGTTCCCCGATTCGGTGTGGCTACCAGATAGATTGCTGTTGTCGGCAAATGTCATCACCAATGCGCTTTCAATTTTCACTTCATTCCCTTGGCTATCGCGACTCGCAATATGGCCTGGTGCAAATAGAGATTAGTCTGAATTGTCACGTTGAGAAAGTACCAGAAATTGCCTCCAAATATAGAATGCCTCGCTACGGCAATCCTCGTTGCCGTTCGGCTAACTGTGGGCAGCACCTCTCTTGCAGCCCGCCTGTCTCTCCAAGCAATAAACCCGAATTGTCATGCCGCCTCCCGGACTGTCTTCCTCCTCCCGGGCTGTCTTCCTCTTGGCGTCTGATATTGGTGCCTAACTACCAAAAAACCAGTGTTGGCCAGACCATTACTCGTGTTCTGCCATTTGTTTCCACCAAGTCCGACTTTCGAAGCGGGCCAGCCATCTGTGCCATCGCCAGCAAGGCAACTCTTCGCCGCCCCTCGCCAATCACCATTATCCACTCGCAGTTTACCATCTCAGGGTCAATCATGCCGCCCCGCCCCTGGTAGATGTGATTGAGGTACATTTCTTTTGAGTTCACGCGCTCTCCGAAAAAGAACATTGAACCGTAGTCGTCTGCTGAGTTACCAATGAGGCTGGCCACTTCGGCAAGTGCTGTTTGGTCGTCCAGGCGGTATTTGGACATGCAGATGCTACGGAAGTCGCGTGACACGGTGAGACATGCCTTCCAGGTTGTGTGGTCGACGTAGTCGAGAATTTCTGGGTACAGCTCGTACGGCAGCCTGCCTCTGCCGGTGCCCATCTTGTCGCGAGGACCCCCGCTGCTCGACAATACTGCGGCCATGTCTCGGCGGCGCGTTGAGACCTCCAAGAAATTGGCCAGTGCCGCAACTCCTGGAAACAAGGCTTCGATCTCTTCTGGCCCGTCTTGGTAACGTACCCAGGGCATGTATTCCTTGAAGGGCTCATCTACATCGGCGTCCGCGTCTTCCAGGATCATAACAGGCCGCTCACGAGGGTGCGTGCTGAGACAATCGTCCGGGACAATGGGTGACAAGGGCATGGGGTCCGATATCCGAAGGTGTGGCTGGTCTTGTTCTTTGCTCGTCCAGGACACTTCTGCCAGAGCAACCTGATAGAGCGAAATAAGGATCATGAAGAAACGCCCCTCGTCTGATTTTTGGCGCGTGCAATCCTTGATGCCCCAATTCATGGCGTCTGTGGCCGCCTTCCCATCCACGACAAGGACGAGGCTGACCAGCACGTCGGGGAAACTGCTCGACAGCCAGTACGTTGTCTCTGTCGGGGCAGCACCCGGAGGCAGATTCTCGAGATGGGACATGGAGCCAAACTGCACGAGAGGTGTGCTTTTTTTTCCTTCGTATCTCTTGGCGGACCAGGGCGATTGCAGGATCAGCGTCTCGTGGCTCTTCGACACGGCAGCTGGCTGACAGAGGCTGAAATTTCCAGCGGCGCATGAGACAATGGCATACACAAACTCCCGAAAGGGAAACGACGAGGGTTGCCATTGGCGACTGAGACAGGCGAGCGTGTCGCGGTACGTGCCAAACATGCTTGCTGCGGTCAATGCGAACAAAGCTGTATGGCTCTGTTCAAGTTTGACGTGCGGGTCGCAGCGACGCACATTTGTCGTGCCAAAGGTCATGTCGGGCGCAGGCAGCTCGATGGCGAGAGAGGCCAAGTGCTCTTCGGGACAAATGTCCGTGTTGACGGTCAGGGCCATCCCGTACACGCTTGGCTCGATGGCAGTGTACCACATGTTGTCTTTTCGGGGAATGTTGCCCAATCGATAGTGCACCGAGTAGTCAATGGTGAATACCTCTGCATCCAGATTGGTGATGTAAATGTGTTGGTTGTGGGGAAACACGTTCTGGTAGGCACCATCATCTTGGAAGTCCGGCAAGCAATCAAAGTACGGAAATTCGGTGGGCAGGTCCAGGTACGCTCTGAAAAAGCTACCTGCTGTCAACATGCCCGGAATGGTCCTCACATTGTTGTCGCTAAGAGGATAGACATGTGCTTCGAGCGTCCCCTCCAAGGCTGCGAATTTCTCTGAATCTGGCAAGCCACTCTGTGAGCCGATGAGACGTATTATTAGTAGCTACCACTTTGGCTTGTTGTTACGTTTCGTAATGCAAAATGCACGTCATACCCTTGTAACGACCTGCTTCTTCGGGCACCCTGCTCACGAGCATATCACCAAGATCCTCCAGGTCCCCGTGCCATCCATGTTCGACAACGTAGTAGCGGCTGTTGTAGCAAACAACATCAAGACCGCCACCAACCATGTGCTCGAAAACATGGCCATGATGATGGACGTGGAGGAGAAGGAGGTGGTCAGGGTCATCGACGTCGTCGTCGAAATCTACGTCCTCGTCATGGTCATCGTCGGAATCGTGGTGACTGTGGTCGTCACTAGTGTCACTCATTGTGTCGGTAGAAGCAAAATGATGGCAAATATAGATGATGAGAGATGGCCTGTAAAATGAAGATGAAATGAAGTGGCAAAACTTTACTTCGAGATCGTCAGCGGACAAGAAACGCGTCTTGTTTGGCGCGTCTCAGGCGACCGCGTGTTGTTCTCACTTGGGAAAGAGCGATGCTCGTCATGTTCGGAAGGAACGATGATGGCCATAACGCAACCGTCACCCAGCACAATGGCAGAGCTGCAAGCCGAACGCGTTGGAATTGTGCAGCAAGGCCACTAACATCTTGGACAAACATAATAATGTGTGTAGGTATGATGACTTACATCCGACGAGAATCTAACTGCCACGAAATTTCCTAACTTGGTGTGGTGACGAGGTACCAAATATGCCAAGATGCAATGAAGACCAAGAGATATGGTATGCTGGTTTTTGTAATTTGGAAATTACTATTGAAATGGCATACTCTTTGCATATCAAGCCTGTTTGTAAATTTACTTACCATCAAACGAAAGTAAAAAAAATATGTCTTACGGTATTTTTATGTCGTAATAAATTTCAATCAAAAAATAAAAAATAAAAATAAAAATGAGGACACACGATATACGTATTTTTTTTCCTAAAATGTAAAATAAACTGATACAAAGAGGAATACTTATTTGTATTTAAAAGAGCAATATTTAACGTTTTTGGGCGGCTGATGAACAAGCTGGGTCGGAATTGTTGACATTGTCGAGGACGTCACCAAAAAATCGCACTGTGTTAGTGTGGGAAGGGTGATAAAACATACGATATTCGCCAACACGGAAAGTTTCTGAACGTGGACAAATCAGTCAATTAAAAATAGGATATCCAGAAACATGTCGTATTGGCTGGTCAAATAATAGAGAGAAAGCAAAGAAAGCAAAGAAAAGCAAACAAAAAAAAAACGCAGTCAAGAAATATATGCCCAGCGCCCGTAAATACAAACAGTGGAAAACAAAAATGGTATGCAAACAAGCCAATCAAAAGGATATTTGTACACGCTGTAGCTATGCAACTCCACCTCTGCCGTATCGACTCATCTCCAGTGGCTCCGTGGACTCCCTCTTCCGACATCGTCGAATGCCTCCGGCTCACAAGCGCTCAGTCCTCCCGCCCCAGTCGCTTGTCTCGCTCGCTGCGCCGCGCTAGCTCAGCTTCCTGCTCCCGCAACCGCCGCACCGCTTCGTTTCGGTCCATGGTCCGACCCTCGCGCTCGAGCTTCAGCTTGTTCTCGAGGTCGCGCAGCCGCAAAATCCACCGAGGGTCCGCACCGCCGCCCGCTCCCGACCCTGTGTCCTCGCCCTCGTGGAGCGCCAGTTCGCCCGCCGTCAAGGGCCGCGACGACGCCGATGTCAGCGACAGGTGGGCACCCGACGACGACGACGAGGTGATGGGGCGGGGCACGCCGCTGCGGCCAGACTTGCCGCGGGCGGACTTGGCGCTGCGGTCGCGGGGCCCGGTGGGGATGGACGGCGAGGGCGACCCGCCGCCGCCGGGGAGGTCGAACATGGTGTCGGTACCGACGCCGCTGCTGCCGCCAATGCCCAGACCCGTGCCGCCGTTGCTGCCGTCTCCGTTGCCCGACGACGAGCCGTAGACGCGCGCGCGGACATCGTTGGCGGCGCGCAACGTCGTATTTTCGACCTTGAGCTGGCGGTAGGCGTCTTCCAAGCGCAAGAAGCGGCTCTGGAGCTCGGGGGTGCCGAAGCTGCTGCTGCTGCCGTTGCTGCCGCCTGGGCCGGCACCCGTAATGGTGTTGCGGACCACAGCTTCCAGCCGGTCCAGCCTCTTGACGCGCTGGTCGAGCGTGCTCTCGAGCGACTGGTACTCGCGCCAGAGATCGCGCTCAACGGCCTTGATGCGGCCCGGGAAGCCGCCGACGACGGCCTCAATGTGCTTGATGGCGGCCATGAGATTGCGGGTGAAGCCCGACAGCATGGTGGCGACGACTTCGAGGGACGGCAGGGCGCGGCCGTTGATGAGCGAGTTGTCGTGCGCCCAGTCGGTGCCACAGATGGCGCTGAGCCGCGTCCACAGCAGCAGCAGCAGGTTGTTGCGCTCGGTGAGCTGGTCGCGGAAGGTGGACTCGAGCTGGGACATGCGGCGCTTGTCGAGCGTCTTGGACGACTCGAGTTCGGTGATGCGCGCGTCCTGGGTGGTGACGGTGCGCGTGACGTGCTGGTGCGTCTTCTGGAAGGTGTCGAACTGGTGCTTCGTGTTGCGGTGGGCCGCGCGCTCTTTCTCGAGGGCGTCGGCGACCTTGCGCGCCTCGAGGCCGTGCGACTCGAGCAGGGCGTCGCGCTGCTTGATGATGCGGTCCTTTTCCATGAGGTTGCCCTTGGTCGTCTGCAGCTCGCGCACCGAGTTTTCGAGCTCGCGCTGAATCTGCGCGATGCTCTTGAGCAGGCTGGACCGCGTGCCGTTCAAGTCGCCCAGGGCCTCGCGCATGTTGTTCTCGAGCTCCATCAGGCGCTCCTTCCACTCCGTGGCCTCGACCTCGCGCGACGTCAGGCTCTTGCGCAGCTTGCGCGCCTCTTCCTTGTGGCCCGACGCCTCGCGGCTCAGCTCGTTGACAAACTGCTGCATCTCCTTCTTGTCCTTGGTGGCCAGGCTCTCGCTGCGCTCGCGCTCCGTCACAATCTGCGCCTGCAGCTGCTTGACGCGCTCCTGCTCGTCGCGGATCTGCTCCTCGGCCTTGGTGATGCTGACCTCGAGCCGGCTGATGTTGATCTTGTCGCTCTCCTGCTCTTCGCGCAAAAACGCAATCTCGCCCTGGCTGTTCTCTTGCTGCACCAGCAGCCGCTGCGCCTTGTCGTTGGACTCGAGCAGCTTGGCCTCGAGCTCCTCGAGCTCCTTGTTGGCGTCGCCGAGCTCCTGTTCGAGCTGCTGCACGCGGCGCACCTTGTTCTCCGTCTCGTCCTCGAGGCCCACCAGCGCCTCGCTGAGCTTGCGCATCTCGTCTTGCAGCGCGCCAAAGTTTTCCGTCTTCTCGGCCAGCTCCGTCTGCAGCTTCTGGTTTTCGGCGTCGCGCAGGTCGGCCTCCTCCTCGTAGCCGTCGATGGCGTCCTGGGCCTCGGCCCGCAGGTCTTCGAATTCGCCCTGCAGGTTGCTGTGCTTCTGCTCCAGGTCGTTGAGCTCAGCAATCAGCTCGTCGCGCTCCGCCTGCATGGCCATCAGGTCGGTCATGGCCCCCTCGTAGTCCTTTTGCACGCCCAGCGCCACCTCTTCGGCCTCCTGCTTCTGCAGCAGCGTGGCCTCGAGCTCCTGCAGCAGTGTCTGGTTCTCGAGCTTGGCCTCGTTGATCTTGTCGCGCAGCGCGGCGTTGCGGTTCTCGAGGTCTTCGCGGGCGGCGTCCCGGTCGTATTGGTCTTGCTCGTCGGCCGCGCCTGTCGCGGTGCCGCCGACGACCGTGTCGGCCCGCGTGCCGCCGCTAGCTCGCGACCCAGACCGCTCGCGCACGCCCATGCCGATCTGTGACGCCGAGCGGTCCAGCAGGCTGTCAATGGTCGAGGGCGCGGGCCCGCCGCCGCGGCGCTGGGCCATCTTGAGGTCCTCGATTTCCTGGTACAGGCGCTCCTTTTCGCGGTTGCGCGACGTCAGCATGGACGTCTGGGCGCCGACCTCTTTGCGCAGCTCGGCGTTCTCGTGGCGCAGTTGCTCGCCCTCGCGACGGAGCTCTTCGACCAGCGTGTTGCTGCCGGTGGAGGCGCTAGCACCGTCTGTGTCGCCGCCGACGGCATGGGCATTGGCGTTGGTGTTGGCGTTGGAGTTGGCCGCCCGCTTGGAAATGTTGTAGATGTTGGTCGTGTGGTGCAGGCTACGCTCGCCGACACCGTTGCCGTTGGACGAGACGGTCCCCGTGGCCCCCGCACCACTGCTGTGCATCTCCTGCTTCAGCCGGAAGATCTCGTCGCGCAGCTTGCGGTTGTCGTCGTCGGCCTGCTCGCGGCGGGCAGTCTCCTGCTCCAGCAGATCCTTCCACACATCCTCCTCTTCTTGGCGGCCCAGGGTCTCACCGGTGTTCTTGTCGGTGCTGCTGGACTGCAGGGACTTGATCATGTCGCCCATGCGGCGCTTCTCGGCTTCTTTGGTAAAGACGTCCTGGCGCAGCTGCTCGATGATGTTGGTAAACTCTTCGACGCGTTCCCTCAGGTACAAGACTTCTTCTTCGCGCTCCTGGTCCGCGGCGGCCGCGGCTTCGGGATCGTCGAGCCCGTTGGATGAGTTGCCGCTGCGCGAGGTGCCCGGTCTGTTGTTGTTGTCGTCCTCGTCGCGAATCTTCTTTTCCAGCTCCTTGACGCGCCGCCGCAATCCCTTGTTGTCGCGCTGCAGGATGGCAATGTTGGTGCGGAACTCGACGTTTTCCTGAATCATCTCCTTGATGCCGTCTTCCGAGAGCTTGTCGAGGCGGTCGCTCAGAAACATGACCTTGAGCTTGAGGTCAAAGTTTTCCTTGGACAGGCGCTCAATGGTGCTGCTCTGTTCCTTGAGGGTCATGTTGCGGCCAGGGCGCGTGCCTGTGGTAGTGGAAGTGGCATTGGCCGCGGCCGTCTTGGCGCTGGTGGCTGTCGCCGTCGTGCTGCCGAACTCGGAACGGAAGTCGGACGGCTTGCGCGGTGTCATGAGGCCGTTGCGGGTCTTGTACTCGCGAGCCAGCGACTCGGGCACCTGGATGTCCATGACGCGGCGTGTGAGGACAGTGTCGGTGGGCGGGGCGAGGGTCGCCTTGTTAGGCCGCGGCGTGCGCAGTAGCTCTTCGGAGTTGTGGTGGCCGTCGTGGTCGTTGTCTTCCAACGTCTCGCTGCCACCGCCAAGGGCCGACGAGGCCACACTGCCCATGCTGACGGCCCGCGACAAGAGGTCGCTGGCATTGCGGCGGCCACCGACTGGGATGGCGCCACCCGACTGCAGCGCATAGTCGGCGCCGAGACCAACGGTGACGTCGCTGTCGACATCGTCGTGGGCGTTGCCGCCGTCTTCCCGCGCTTCGCGAGCGTCGTGAGCGTCGTGGGCGTCTGGGTTGGTGATAAACGACGAGGCAGATGAGCGCTGGCTGGCGTTGCGACTTCGCAGGAAACGTGGACGCTTGCCGTAGCGCAGGGCTAGGCCGTTGCTGCCGCCGCTGCCGGTGGACTCGTTGAGGTTGAGGGATCGTCGTCGGCTGTCGTCCCTTGGTGCGGTTTGCTGTTGCTGTTGTTGTTGTGCGTCGGGCGGCCAGAGCAGGGAGTCTTCGTCTTGTGCAGAGGACGGTTGTACCTGGGTCTGAGGTTCGCCGGCATCCGGTGGCAGAGAGCCGGGTGCTGGTGCGGCCGCTGGCTGTTGCCGTTTCCTGGGCGAGTCAAAGAGATATGTGTCGTCGGGCCCGTCTTGGGTGATGGTGGGCAGCGGCGAGAGGGGCGCGACAAAGCTGGATTCGACGCCGGGCAGCGAGTCGTTCATCATGCGATACTGAGCGTCGTGGAACGAGTCCGAGGCCTTGTCGCCGTCGAGGCCCAGGCCGGTCCGGTCCAGGAAACTCGCGTGCGCAAAGGAGGGCCCGTCGGAGACTGCTCCTGTAGTGGCATCTGCATTGCCTGCATGTGCATTTATGCTGTCGGCGGCCGCGTCCGTCCCAGTCGGCGTGTCTTGTATCGAGCCGCCCGTTGTGTCGGCCATGTCGTCACCCGTGTCGTGCGCGACCCCTGAGTTGTCTTCCAGCGAGTGCAGCGACGTGGGCAGTGGCTGGACAGCAGCCAAGGGCGGCGGCGGCGGCGTTGTTGAGCGGTCGTCCGATGCTGTCGCCATGTGGTTCTGGTTCTTGGAGGTCAGCGCTTCGTGGAGCGAGTCGTCGAATGCGCCGGTGCCGGTGCTCTCGTCGGCGTGCGCATCGTGCGACGCCATTGGTGGCACGTTTTCCACGTCCATGCGAGGTGTCTGCCCGTGATGATGGTCGTTCTTGGTGACTTTTTCTGGTGGTGATCTTATCAGTTGCGGTGTGGCGATGTCTCTTTTGTTTCTCGTCTGGGCGCCGTCGTCGGGAGATGCTCGTGGGATCGCGCGAATGTCTCGTCGACGCGTGTTTGGAGGCTTAGCGAAAGTGGGAGAGTCGGTCGTTTGAAAGCGAAAGGTTTGATCAGAGCAAAAGGGCCAGAGATGGGATCGGCTTGGAGCCGTTGCACAGAGTCGAGCTGTTTCTGCTCTCTCTGCTCTCCTTCCTCGTTTACTTCTGTCGTGGTGGCCTCGTCTTGTCGGGTCTCCACGGTCCCTTGTTGGGTCGCGCCTGCCTCCTGACGGGTGCAGTTTTTCCTGCAAGGGGGCCCATGACGGAAGGGACGCGCTCGAGCCTCCTTCCGCTGCTGCGGTGGGGCGCGATAAAGGCTAGAGCTCGAGTGGGAGGACTGAGAGCCGCTAGCGCAACGCCTGTATCATGGGCGTTTGGGCGCAAGACAGGCCTAAGTAGTGTGGATGTCCGCTGAAATATTTCGTACACTAGAGGATGAAACCTAGCAGGCGACCAGACACAATGAGTTACAGCGAGCAACTGGACTCCAGCGTTGCCATGGCAGCACACGTGGCACTGTAATGGAAGAAAACAGCACATAGCCATTGAGGTCAGCCCCCTCAGGGGTAGAAGAATCACCTAACGGGAAGGCGGTGGAGCGCATGCAAGGGATGCACGACATGCTCCCTACGTCGTATTCCGTTGCACCACCATAGGGGCTTAAGACGGACGATGCAACGCAAGCACTGTTCTGATACCATATGAGCATACTTATGGACAAGATCGCCGACTCCCAATCTCACTTCCTCACCCTCGGAACGGCACCCAGATGCACGACATCCTTCCTACGGCCCAGAGATGGCAGTCGAAATTGGTCGCCGTCGACGAGACTGGCCTTGTCCATAGTTATGCAGCCACGGATCATCATCTCCAGAGCGATTGAAGGCCACGATGCGTCACAGTCTGGCGGAATGCCGATGACCGACGTGTGGTCTTTGACTCACAGTTCCATCAGTCTCTACCTCCCGTCCGCCCAGGTCGCGCAGTGTGGTGATTCACGATACAGGCCCACGCCAATGGCTTGCAGACGACCGCCGAAGAGCCTTCAGTGACTTCGAGGTGTCGTCACTTTCTCTCAGTTGCTAACCTTGTGGAAATAGATTCGGAAGTCTGAACCGAGACAGCGTCGAATGATGCCCTGATGTCGACCTCTCGTCAAGACACCTTGGCATATCCATTGCCGCTGCGACGCCCCGACAAGCGACTCCAACATACCGGGTCTGACTGTCCTCGCTTTGTCTCCGTGACTACACTTGTCCTCACTAGGGACATCGTGTATCATTTTGCGCTTGCCCGTGTCGTCTTCTTGCAGAGGGCTCACGTTTAATCCCAGACATGCTTCGTAATGATGCCATCGCGGGTGTCGAGGTGGCCTCTTGGCCGTCGTGTCCTGCATGACTGCTTCTACTAGACAGGAGAGAACCTGCACCGACGAGACATCGTTACAAGACAGCTCTACCGCAGGTGTGCTACTCAGCGCACTGGAGGCATATCGTGGAGTCTATTAAGCCGATGTGTTGTAAGAGGAGAGTTCCAATTGCAGTTTAGTCACGTGCTCTTTACTTTCTGACATACGTAACAATCAATGTCTCTCTGCCCTGCGTAAGCCCCTGGTCCGGTTACTTCTCGCCGTTGCTTCTCCCGTTTTGGTGCCTTGTGCCTGTCCCGGTCTTTGTCTCTGTAGTGATGATTCCCGCGTCTCAAAATAGCATCATTCAGTCATCCAAGACACGCCCGGGCAAAGGCAGAAGAAAGGAAGCTCAAAGGGACGTCTGTAGAACCAGAGAAAAAGCGTTTCGTCACCAGCAGCGTTTTGAACCCACACCTGCGCTGCGTGCTGCGACCATCGATCTTCCTCGCTACCTTCTTTACGCGTGTTTCTCAGCTCTCGCCGAGATGCCCAGATTCCCAGATTCTAGCGCATGGCGCCGCTTGAGGGCTGACTTGCTCACAAGCCAATGAAATTGATCGAGGCCAAGACGATGGAGGTAATGTGGGGCCGTCTGCAGAGTTTAGCTCTCGCATGCTCAAAGCGATCGCGACTGGAACAGCCGATCGTTGTCTTAGGCTGTCGACATGGTTCTGGGAGGTCCATTTCCTTCAGATTCCCCCTCGCTTTCGCAAGTGATCGGCGAGACCGCTCTCTCAGCTTCTTCCTGTTTTTCCACATGTGCCAGGAGCCAGATACAGTGAAGAATGGCACAGAGACAACGCCTAAAAGGGAGTAAAGTCTTGGCAACTAACTGTGCCGCCCACCATAGGCCTGCAGCGGGCTTCATAGCAGGTATCCAGCGCCGAATGCCCTAAAGGTGCCAATTGACGTCATCACCGTCTGGACCAGCTTGCGCGTTCGACCAAGAACAAGCATCGACGAAGCTCTACGGGGCATTACGGAGTATACTTCTCGCTCGACAATTGAGGAGAGGCAGCCAGTAGTCGCGCGGGGCTCTGATGTAATGCTTCCCCTCGAGCCCCTCTCTTTTCCTCAGCTCCGACTTGTCTTGCCTTGGTCTTGTCTCTCGTCTCGTGTCTCGTCTCTTGTCTTGGCCCATCTCATTCTTTGAGCTGCCTTGTCAGCTCGCCTGCTTGTCCTCCAATGCTGTCATTAGCGTCGCCAAGTGGGCAAACATAGAAGGGCCATGACATGTATAAAAGAAGGCCGTTCCTGGCCCCTGAGTAGAACAAATTCCCTCCATCTTCCATCTCTCCATCGACTTCATCTTCTCTTCATCCAACTCCATCTCCTACTACCACAAACTTTTACACCCTCACCAACTTTACCTCTCACAATCACAATGGACGCCCTCAAGAACCTGGCTAGCGGTGGCTCCGGTGCCGCCAACAACGCTGGTGGTGCTGGTGGTGCTGCTGGCGGTGCTGGTGGTGCCGCCGGTGGTGCCGGTGGTGCCGCTGGCAAGCAGGACTACGGCGACAAGGCCTTTAACTTTGTCTCCAAGAAGACTGGCCACCAGGTCAACCCCGAGACCAGCGAGAAGATCACCGACGGTGCCCGCGGTGCCTTTGAGAAGGTGACTGGGTAGGTCATCCCTCACTGAATTGTCACAGCACAAACACGAGCAACACAAGCACTGCTAACACACACACAGCAAGAAGGTCGACCCCAAGTACTCCAACTAAGGGAACGTAATCTGACGCACTGTCAGTTCTACTCCTGTCGACAATAAGACTTTAGACTACTGCCAAACCAAATACAAAACATTATAATACCCATGAACTCGAAAAACACGTACATGTGCCAAACGTAGCTTGTGGAAGTTGTGCAAGACGTAACGATATGACGATATAAATGATGGGAAAAATGCAAATTAGGTCATGACTGAAAAAGGACAACCGTATTGTGTGGCACGTAGTCAAAACAGCACCCCATAGCAAAAAAAGTGATATCAACCGAGAAAACGCCAGGTCATAAAACCATACAACTCTTTGTCCCCCGTTTCTAAAGACAACCGCCTCTTCCCGTCCGTTACCCTACACATCATCGGCAAAGACCTGGTACGCCATGACCATGATCCAGAACAGGAAAATGGCGCCCACCAGGCCAAACGCGAACGCCGCCTGCCACGACTGGCAGATGCTCTTTTGCTGCATCCACGCCAGCGTGCTGGTCGACAGACCAATGGGGTTTTGGTTGAACACGCTGAGGTTGCAGTTGGTCGCCACGCCGGCGCCGCTGTCGCCAAACAGCTCAATCGACAGCACGACCAGCGCGACCACCCAGAGCACAAACATCATGAAGGCGCCAATCATGACAATGGACGGCAGGAGGCGCCGCTGGAAGATGAGGCCGAGGATGGCGAGGACAAAGGTCACGCCCAGGGACGCGACGGTCAGAATGTAGGCAAAGTACCAGGGGACGTGCAGGACAAGGCGCTGCTGGGTCTGGACGAGCGTGGCAAAGATGCCGATCCAGGTGCAGGCGGCGGCGAGCATGATGACGATCCAGAAGTTGAGCTGCACGGCGGGCCAGCGGTACTTGTGGATGCGGGTGGCGTGCCGGTGGCCGCGGGCGGCGTGGTAGTCGTAGCGCCGCTCGACGTCGATGGACTCGGACATTGTGGTGGTGGAAGCCATGGCGAGCGAAAGCGAGCCACGAGTCGACGAGCGGTGCCCGGAGTTTGCGCGCGGAGCGAGGAGACGATGAGTGAGGGGCGAGGAGGAGGAGGAGTCGGTGACGGAAGCCGGAGAGGTTTCGTGTCGAGGAAGCGAGTGTGGACGAGGATCGAGAGCGACGACAATCGCAGAGAGATCAGAGGTGGAGGGGCAGCAGACAGCTACTTCAACACAACAGACACTGAAGCCGTCGTGTCCTGGCTACAGCAGCCTGGTGCGACAACAAGGGCTTCCCCGCTGCCGATGTCGACAATCAACAATCGACAGTCGCTCGACTCGTCCAGCTATTGGTCGTCGCCGTCGTCGTCACAATCGCAGTACAATCCTAGTTGCCACTCGTCGGCGTTGGGCCGCGATGCAGCGATTAGAGAGTGTCGTGGCAGTTGAGCAATCGCCGCAATCGTAATTGGAATTGTCGCAAACTTGAGAATTGGCGAGGATGAGGAATGCCAAAAAAGACGGGGAAGCAAGACACACGGCAAAGACACGAAAGAAAATACTCGAAAAAGAACGTCCTGCCCACATGCCTTGCCAGCCCACGCCCAGACGAGCAGGGGGTTGGTTTCCCGGCCTTGGACTTGTTAATGTGGGAAACGGCCTCACATGGTTGATGCACAGCAACCGTCCACAGTACTGTGACGACGCTGCTCTGCTGGCAGACCCACCTATGGGGCTCTAAACCAATCATCATGAGTAGGTGGGGGAGACTGTGTACAAAACAAGACTAGCGCAGTTGCGACCCGCGCCTTACAGCGGACTAACAGTGCTTCGCAGCGCCAAAAAAGTGTCGGAGGTTGGTGCTCAGGTGCTGTACGACAGAGTGGCTGGCAGAACATCTCAATGTCAACAAACGGCACCACAACAGACTCGGCACAGCTACGCAGCAATCATTCGCCCGCCAATCATACAGCAGCAACAGGAAACGGGACACTCTCGATGATCATCTGATTGTTTTGTTCTCCGTATCTTACATATGCTCCGCAGTGTCGTATTTCGTGCAGATTGACTTCACTTTTGTATCGTACAATTACATTTTTTTTGGTTCCTCACCGTGTTCCCCTACGCCTTCAAGTCGCCCACCCACCCCAATAGTTCCCGCTTCTCGTCCAGCACGCGCGCATACTCGAGCAACAGCCGCAGCACGTACACTTGCATGTCCTCTCTGCGCAGCACACGGTCTGCCCATGCCTTGCCGGCAGACGCAATCGCTTCTGCCATCCGGTCGCCCTTTTCGCCCTTTTCACCCTTTCCACCGCCGCCCCCCAGGAAGAAGTCGACAATGCCATACCAGTCGCCATACCGGTTGTCCATGGGCACAAAGTGCTTCCACGCGACGAGCCGGGCGTCGTGCCATTCCTTCCAGACGGTGGCCTTGACAGGCAAACTAGAGCTCTTGAGGAACGCGAGATACCGCCCGCTGAAGCTGTTGCCGTCAATGTCGGGCAGCAGCTTGCGGTGGAACTGCTCGGGGAGGGACACACTGTCCACTACAGAAAAGTAGTCGTCAACGTACGAGCAGGTTTTGTCGTCGGTGGCGCCGCCATTGTTGCTACCGCCGGTATTCGTTTCGGCCGTCCCCCCACCGTCACACATCAGGTCAACAAAGCCGCAGTCGGACCACGACGACACCCACGTGCCCAGCCCGCCTTCCTTCTGCGCCTGCAAATTGTAGGATGCGGCGGGCAACACCATGTTGGGTGCCTTGTGCTCTGGATCCGCCTCTGCATGGGCCACCAGACTGCCGTTGTTCATGGCGACGAACCGGTGCCGGTGAAAGCCCTTCCAGTTGTCCGCCCGGTTGTGTCCGCCCGTGGCCACGCCCCGCCAAATGGCGCCATTCGTCTTATTCGACCACGGCCGGTCTGCTGTGCCCCCGCTATCACCCCCAAACCGCGCCTCGTTGCTCCAGTACATGGGTGCCGGCAGCAAAATGTCGTTGTTGACCGAGAGTTTGCTGCCGCCGAAAATGGGCAGCAGCGTGTCTGTGGTGGAGATCGAGAGCGGCTCGATAAATATTCCGTTGAGCCCCGCCAGGTCGGGCTGGTGGCACACGTCGCTCGACAGCGAGCTGTTGGCCACAAACCCGCGGTACATGTGTGGATTGGTGTAGGTGTCGGTAATGTCTGGTAGGCCGTGGTTCGTTGTGGGCGGTGCCGTCTTTGTCTGCCGCGCCATCGACTGGGGCGCACAGCCGCGCCGCACCAGATCCCAGTACGGCCCCGTTGTCGTCCACCGTTTGTGATTACTGTTTGCGACGCTGTTGCTTTTGCTGTTGCCATCGTCACCATCGCCCTCCCCCAACGGCAACGACTGAAACGTCTCCTGCACGTCCTCTGGCCGCGGGAACCCTTGGGTCCGCTGGGCCTCCACCACATAATTCTGCATCGCCTCCCACGCCACCACCACCCGCGGCTCGTCCATGGCGTTGAGCGCAATGTCCATGTCCGGCAGCTCCGACTCGATGGTCTTCAGCAGGTCCAGCCAGATTTGGGTCCAGAACCAGTCACTCGTTGTCGTGGCCCGCCCGCGACGCACGCGGATCGTCATCTCAAAGTCGCGCGCCTCGCGCTGCACAGGCTTCGGCGGCAGCGCCCAGAAGGGGTGCAGGTCGTGGTAGATTTGGTCCCAAAAGGACTCCACAAAGACGACATTGCGCTCTCTGGCGAAGCGGTGCCACCGGTCGAATCCGGGCGGCGGGTGCCGGCCGCGACGCTTGCGGTACGCGGCAGCCGCATCCGCCAGGGTGTGCGTCTCGTGTGCGAGCAGGCTGCGGAACTGCTTGTCGGCCTCGGCGACGAGCCGCTCGATGGGGTGTTGTGTCGCTGGGGGCAAAGGGGATGGTGGCGGCTGTGCTTTCTGGTCAGCAGCAGCCACGGGAATGGGCACCGGCATCAACATCGGGTGGATGTTTGCATTGGCTGCCGATGTGTGGTAGTGCTGGCGGTGCTTTTGGTGCAGCTGGGCGATCGTGGCTGCCGTGGCCATCTGGAGTTTGGTCGGCAGCGAGAAGCAGTATGCCAGCAGCACCAGAATGCTGGCCGGCACGACGTAGCGAGCAACCAAGGACGGCCGCCGCGAGGCCAGCACGGTGATCAGCATGGTGGTCGTCGGCTACGGGGTGACGATATCAGCAGTCATGTCGTAGACGTAGTCGTAAGCGTAAATGTAGATGTGGAGCTCTTGAGGCTCACGAACCTGGAACCTTGAACCTTAACGTTCAAACCTAACCTTGACCTTTCCAGTACCTCAACGCAGAGGCACAGCCGGCAGTGCTATGGGTTTTTGCCGAGACTGCTGGTAACGTGGGAAGGCAGCAAGGGTAGACGGGTAAGGGGACTTCTCCGGGGTCGTCGATGAAGTGACGGGGGCAGTCGATCTCTGGCAATCGCGGCACGTCGATATTGGATATTGGATTGTTAGGCAATGTCTATAGATCGGGACGACTGGGCTAATTTGGCTAAATGGGCCACGGCAAAACAAGACGGGAGGGCCGGCGACTGTTCAGGATTGCCACAGACTGCTGTGAGCGCGTAGGACAACAAACATGCAGGCCGCCTAATGGGACACAAGAGACGACAAAGAAGAGGGGTTGTGTTGCTTGACTGTTATGACGTGCCCGATTCGGAAAGTACGTCCCGTCGTGATGCTTGGCAGGAAGGAGCGACTTATGCCGACCATCTTGCCCGCCACAGTGCACAAAGCCTGCGTTTTTTGAGTAGACCGTTCACTACCATTGAGGTTTAAGGAGATGACTTGTTGTATTTTATTATCTTTAATATTGTCGATGAAATTTGTCGTCATTTGAGTTCCTATCATTTTCCAACGGGTTTTTTATTTTATTTTAGATTATTTTTTATTTCCATCCAAAGAATCTTGGCCAATTGAAGAAAAAAAAAAGGAAAAAAAAAGAATTACCTATGCAAACAACACACGACCACAAAATTGTCTCAAATATATGACAAGTCACATTGACAAACAATTGTCAAAAATAATAGAAACAACAGTAAACAACTATTCGTCTAGCTCGCCGTCCACATCTGTCCTACGTCGGACACTGTCGGACATTTTTCTGCAACGATCAACAACTCACAAGTTACTCCGACGAACGACGCCGTGCCTCGGGGTACACAAACTCTCTCGCCTACTCTACCGATCATGTGAATTCGTCAGACGACGCTCTCGGCTGCTTTTCTCCCACTGTATGACTCTGTCGCGTCCGTAAGCCGAAGACATGAGGCCGCGACTAAATACGTCGACATCGGCGGCATCCGCCGCATCGATCAAACAACCGAGATCATGTAAGCTGTAGAGCCAGCTGTTCGTGTTCCCGTCGGCACTCCTGGCCGTCTCCCACTCGGCAGCGGACCTGGCCTGCCAGAGTCCGTAGCGGGCCGTGAACGGTAGACTGCCCGTCGCGGGACTCCACGCGTGCTGCAGTGTGTGGTAAATGGCTTCAATGGCTGTCGATATGGTCCACATGCGGCGGATGCTCTCGGCCACGATCCAGGCATGCCACGCATTAATGTTATCGCTGCGGTCGTTGTTGTTGTGGTCGAGGTCGTCGACGATAGAGACGACGGGAGTCAGGGGACGCTCCGCCACCGCCCCTTGCTGCTGGGCCGCCTCAAGCAGCTGCCCCGACCAGCGGGCGAGTGTCGACCGGCGCAGGTCGGCACGATGGCGTGCCCGCGTGTTTCCGTCAAACAGGCCAATGGCTTGGTAGACGACGAGGGCATGGACGCGGCCGAGCTGGGCCAGGAGAGTGGTGGTGCTGGCATCCGTAGCCTCGCCGCCCGGTGCTACCAACTGGCTGGCCTGCGCATCGACTGCGTCCAGCACCATCTCTGTCGTTGCCTCGGTGCGGTGGATATAGCTCGACATGGCCAGGAACGCAACCTGCACACAGGCAGGCGTGTTGTCCTTGTTGCCGTTGTTACCATACACGTTTGGATGGATAAACGGACAGCCACCCGTGGCGACCCATGTCCGCAGCCAGGTGCGAATACCGGCGACCTGCAGGCGCAAGAAGGCAGTGCTCGTACTGGAGGCATGGTGATGTAGATGCACACGGTGGTCAATGGACCATGTGGCGGGTAAGAGGAACCACGATGTCTTTGGTGGCCACAGTTGGGCATGAGATGGTGCAATGAGAGTAGTACTTTGGGACGGAAACCATGGCGCCGGTTGTGGCAGCGGTTGAAACAGGCCTACCTGTAGGTCCAAACTTTTGGGGGTTTCCAACAGCCAGGAGAAGTGGGACAATGCGGACGTAGGGTCGATGGTACCACTCGTAGAGGCTGTATTGTCGAGAAGGCCGAGATCTAGACTAGCGGCATTCGGCACGGCCGGCATGGCATCGTCGACGCTGCCCAGGAAGAGGCCACCAAACAAACCATTTGAGTTCGTGTTGTTGGTTGTTGGGAGAAGTACGTCTGTCTCTGCCTCCTGCCGCAGAGCGACGTAACTGCTGGGCTTTGCTGGTGGATAGGAGCATGTCATTTGCCGGTCGAGGCACCGACGACACGCCGGCTGTGCCTTGTCGCACTTACGCTTAGCGCGGGCACACGCTGTGCATGCCGGTGCCTTGGGCAGCGCGAACATGGCTAGGGGATGCTGTGTACGGAGATTGTGTTTGATGAAGGTGGATTGATGGTGGTGGAAGCGCGTAGAGGTAAGGGCGACGTTCTGTCAGCTGGCTGACGATAAACGGTCAACGCATGCGGGCGCTAAGCCTTTTCGGAACGTCCCCGCAAAAGTCTCCGATGCCCCGTGTAAGTCGCAGTTAACGAAGGAGCCTAGCTAACCACAATGGTCAGGAACGCCGTTACGACACATTGAATTGCGACAGAATACGGGTGATTTCTGAACCGGCGAGAGTCGTGGATGGAACAACAACGAACATGATGACAAAGTGTCCGGTCGAGTTTGCCCGGTTCTCTTCTGGTTTCGTTTGACGGCTGCTCTTCGAATGTCCCATGGCGACTATAAGAAGTGACCTCTCCCGTATATGTTTCCATTCGAAGAGAACAATCAACTCGACACGAAATTATTTCTCTATACAAAAGCAAGACAAACAGGCTTCATACTACATCACCTTCCTCACCATATTCTGCTACCATCCGCCTCAATATGGACGGCGTCGTCATCCCCGAGACCGACTTTACAAAAGTCATCCGCCGCGACACGTACGCAGCCATCCACCCGACACGTCCTGAGCTCAGCCAGGCCGGGCGTACGGTTGTCGTGGTCGGAAGTGGTAACAACATCGGTAAAGACATTGCTTCGGCCTTTGGTGACGCTCATGCAGCGACGGTCATTCTTGTCGGGAGACGACAGAACGTGCTCGAGGCAGCCGCCCGCGAACTTGAGGACGTCGCCAAGTCCACCAAGTCTCCCACCCACTTCCGCGCTGTAGCCGTCGACGTGACTGACGACGCCACTGTGGACGCCTTCTGGGCCCAGCTGGCGGCCGACGGCGTACACGTCGATGTGCTTGTGCAGTGTTCCGGCACGTTTGGGCAGCCCAAGCCACTGCTGGAGCTGGGCCTGAAGGCAGCACACGCCGGCGATGGTGCTGCAGGTGTACCCGCTCTCGATGACATGATGGCCGCCAACTTCCGGGGCCCCATGAACATGGCTCTACACTTTGGCAAGCAGTCCAGCGGCGGCGACGACAGCAAGCAGAAGTACTTTGTCTACGTCTCCACCAACGCCGTCAATATGGCCGACCACAACTGGTTGGCCCTGCGTCCGGACTACATTCTGAGCAAGAGCACCGCCACCTATGCGTTCTCGCTGCTCGCCGACGGCGTGTCCCCCGACACCCTCCAGGTCCTGTCTTTCCACCCGGGCATGCTTTACAGCGACGCCTGGCCCCCGCTGGGCTTCACCAAGGACATGCTGCCCTTTGACGAGATGGAGCTGCCAGCGCACTTTGCCGTCTGGGCCGCTTCCCAAGAAGCCCGGTTTCTGCATGGACGCTACGTCTATGCTACCTGGGACGTGGACGAGCTGGTGTCATCGGCCGAGCTGCGGGCGCGTCTCGACGGGGACCACAACTACCTGCGGCCGGGCATTGTGGGCTTGACCAACGGCGGACACCGTGTGTAGTGGCGACGAGATGATGGATGGACGTGGAGTATTGTGCTGTATATTGTACTCGGGGACTGTAATTGAGAGCAAGGAGAGGAGAGAGCAGCAACTGTCAAGACACACGTTTTAATTCGATGACGAAGAACGCATCTTACAAAGGAGAAAATAAGAAAATGTCGCTCGCGGCCACCTTATAGACTCGTCGGAAGGCATGGCGGTGACGACGGTCCCTCGATATTCGGCTTCGGATGGGCTCGACAGAAAGAGCCAACGCCGACTGCCTGTCGTTATTGCGCAACTGCTTTGTGCCATTTTGAGATCGAAGACGGCGAATTTAGGCACGCCCTCTTGATATTCTTTCTTGGGCCAAAATATAAGGGGGATGATGGAAAGAGTAGCAGAGAAGTAAGAGTGAAAGCGTGAAAGCGTGAAAAATGAAAAAGTGAAAGAAGGTGAGGGTCGCAAGTTTATTTACGTTTCATACCGTACATACTCACGCGTGCCAGGAGTCGGCGCCCCAAAGTACATCTGATTGGCTGCAATGCGATTGTGGGGCCAAACTCACTACACATAAATACATGGCACAAACGTCGTTGTTACTAAATGAAACCGAGCATCTCAGCTCCTACAGCACGCGCCTCAATCTCCTCCTCTACTTCGAACACATTCTCCTGGCGCCTCAACCATCACCCAATGACAACATGCTGCCACAAGAACAGATTCCCGTTCGGCCAAAGAACTTTGTCGCCCGCCCTACCGAGTAAGCCTCTATGTCCTTCTGCCCCCAACGGTCTCCATTTCGTTTCATCGCACCGTCTCTTTCCCTCATCACCTCCTCTCCACCCGGACCACCCCTTTCTTTTGTTGTTGGTCACATTCTGGTTCTAATTTAGGCTTAAAGTCGAATCGAACAGATTAAAAACAGTTCCGCGATCCCAGACACCCCCTCGGTATAACAGAAATACGGCGCCAGCGGTACATGCAGGTGCCATTTTTAGACAACACTCCGATGACCGACGACAAGCCGCTGAGCTTCACCATGGCCGACCTCAAGACTCCAAAGCTGCGCCGGTGCACCTTTGACGTGGACACGATTGACTGGAGACGGGCGAGACTCCTTGGCGCTGGCTTGGATGGCGCTGTGTGGCGTGTTTTCTTTGGCGACAAGGGGCCGTACGCGCTGAAATTGGTGCGTGCTATTTCTTTTCTACGGGCAGTATGTCGTCTTGTTTGTTCTTCGGAGTCGTCGTTCCTAATATCTACCTCGAATAGTTCTGGGATGCTGGCGTGACCTACGACATATCCTGGTATTGGGCTGCGCAGCGGGAGTGTCAAAATGCAGCATTGCTCCAGATGCTGCGTGCATCTCTTGACTGGGAAGGCCACGCAGGCAAGCGAGCCCAGGGAGCCCAAGGAATCCAGGGAGTCCAGGCAGTACAGGGCAAACAGGGCGAACAGGCAGAAGAGGGCGACCAGGGCGAACAGGGAGAACAGGGCGACCAGAACAAGCAAGACAAACCCCCAGGCACTGTACTAGTGCATGCGAACCCCCAAACTCATGAAGACGCCTTGAGCAACTTGATGGCCTTTTCCCTTGAAGCAAAGCAGCGCAACCAAACCAACGAAACCTCACAAAGCGTACCGCCGTCCCAGGTCCAGCATCAAGTCCAGTCCCAAACCAGTGAGGTCATCCGCTTGGGACGAGACTCGATGCCGCGTTTTGCGCAGTTCCACGGCTGGCTGCGCGTCGATGGAATTGCCCTCGTTAGGCGCATGCCTTTGGGTGTTTTTCCGGCGGTCCAGGTCGTCGACAAGCATAAGCGTTATGTGCAAGATCTGCAGGAGTTGAAGGACTGGAAGGTCGAGGTTGGCCTGGCCGACGCGGCAGACGAGTTGGAGCTGCACTACGCCATTGTGTACGAGTATGTGGAAAGCGGAGGGATGGACAAAGAGAGGGCGAGGGTGAGGCACAGCAAAACTTGGCAAGGACAACAACGAGCCAAGGCCAAAGCCGAGGCCGAGGCCAAAGAGGCGCTTGCGGTTGGTGTCGAGACGCGGAACCAACGGGCACAACGTGAGGCATTGGCAGCTCGGCAAAAAGAACAAAAAGAGAAGCAACGACAAGAGCGACTAAAAGAGGACCAACAGCAAGAACACGACCGGGTTGCGGCCGTGGCGCGTTTCTTGCACTTGGCCGGAATCTCCTTTTGTCCCCAGTCGCTGGCATGCAACTGGAAAAATGGCGTGCTCATCGACCACTCGGACATTATCAGCCCGCGCAGCTACGGTTGGGCACAGATGTGGTACAGGATCAGATCGGTAGAGAAACTGCTGGCGGAATAGGGTGACAGTGTGTGCAAAGCAAGTTCATATTTTGCGCTGGTCTCGACGCTGTGTGACTCGACTTGTTGTTTTTTTTTTTTTTTTCGTCTCTGTCCCCTTTTTTTCTCCTTTCCTTTTTATGTTTTCACTTTTCCTTCCCCTTCACCTTTGCATTTACCCTGTTTATTGAACTCCGTTCGTGGACTACCCATCCAGAGGCTGGAACTGGATACGGCATTCGTGTTCCTACAAAAGTTAGTACGCACAAAACAAACGTCACGTTTAGACTGAGCAGAAACTTACCCGCATCTCTCGGCAGCTGTCGTCACACAACACCTCGTAACGGCTCGTGATGCCCGGCGAGATCGCGTCGAAGCCGTCCGTCGGCACGGTCCGGTACCGCCGGTACACCGACGACGCCAGCGTGGTCATCTCGGCCATGGCCAGGTGCATGCCTATGCACATGCGGCCGCCGCTGGAGAAGGCCCAGAACCAACGTTGCATTTCCGTCGTGTCAGCCGATGCGTCCATCCACCGATCGGGGTTGAACACAGACGGGTCCTTGAAGACGGCCGGGTTCCGCTGCAGCACAAATGGCGAGATGGACACGACCGTGTTGGCAGGCACCGTGTACCCGTCGATGGTCGTCGTGGCTCTGGACAGCCGCGGCTCCGAGCCGGGAAGCGGCGGAAACAGCCGCAGCGTCTCCTTGATGACGGCATCGAGGTAGGGCAGCTTGTCGGCAGCGTGGGCGCGGGTGATGCCGTGTTCGTTGACGTCGGCGGCATCGACGGAGCGCGCCTCCGCAATCAGCTTTTCCTGGAACTCGCGGTTCTCCGGCCGTGACAACAGCCACACCAAAAACATGAGCGTGTCGCTTGTCGTGTCGATGCCGGCCAGCAAGTGGTCCGCACACTCGGCGGCAATGTCAGCATTGTCCAGGCCGCTACCAGCCGACGTCTTCTTTGCTGACACGTGGTGCTTCCACAGCTTGGCAATCACGCTCGGCTCACGGTCTAGTTCGTCCTGCGTCTTGTCGGCGGCATGGTCGGCAAACACCTCGACGGCATGACGTGCGTAGTCGCGGATACCCGTGTACGTCGTGGGCTTCTGCATGGGATACAAAAACCGCTCGGCCAAGCAGCCCAGAATGCCCGTCTGCGCGTAGACGGCCGCAATGAAATCAGGCATATGCACGGAGAACCACGACAGCTTGCGCCGCGCCTTGTCGACAATGTCGTTGATGAGGGCCTGGTGGACCGCGGATCCCGTCAGACAGGCCGTGCCGCCCGCGTCGCCGTACAGGAACTGCGTTATGGCGTCAAGCGAAAAGTAGTGCAGCGACGCAAAGACGTCGCTCGTACGACCGGCGCTCGCCTCGATCAGGTCCACGTAGTGTTGTGCCTTGGTCTCCACCAGCGCCGCGATAGCTCCCTTGAGCATCGTCGACTTGGCGTACGCATTGGCCACCATCTTCTTGCGCGACGCGTGGTCCCGCGCGGGGCCCATCGTGAACATGTTCTTGCGGCCGTACACTTCAAACATGCGGTAAAACGACGTCCGCTCAAACCCGCTGCCCGCGCCGTAGATGGTCCGCATCGCCGCCAGGCTGCTAAACGACACCTCGTTGGGACCCACACGCACAACGGGGCCGTACTGTGTGTGCAGCCGGTACAGCTTGCGCGTGCGGGCGCCGGACCAGTCGTCGTATGCGAGCCGCCAGCTCGTCAAGGCGTAGAGTTTGGGGCCCGGGATGCGGGCAAGCGGACTGAAAAAGACGGAGTAGATGGCCTGCACGGCAAAAATAGCGACGACGGCTGCCGTCGCCAGGACAGCTAGAGGCAAACCCATCGTGTGGGGAGGGTGAATGGCCGTGATGTATGCAAAAATATAAACGAAGAAATAAATAACAGACAGTGAGGTGAAAGAGTGTCAATGCGGATATGCAACTGCAGAACTCTGCACAAAGGAATTGTTTGCTGTATACGAGATTTCGTTGTAGGTGGTTTACAAACGCGTGATAGTGAGCTTCGTTGTGTCGAAGAATGACGCCGTTGGGTTGTCGGATGCTGTTCGTTGATTGCCCTTGCTTGGTAACCTTTGGTAATGAAGGCCGTTCATATAGTCATGGTCGGGGTAGCCAATGACCGTGAAGCATCCTCACGCTGTGAATTCAACCGAAGCTACCAGCATGACAAGGCCAGATGAAGAAGGGAAAGGCATCAAATTTGGAGTAAGCTACAGATAAAGCAACTGCCAGCGACAGCACACGGCTGCAGCCGCGATGTCAAGCTTATTGGTCGATAGCCGTTCGCCACGAGCGCCAACCTACCCCTCTCCTCCTCTTATCGGGGTTCGGCTTCGCGACCCCTGTACGAATGGTCTCGTGTGGACTCGTGTTGACTCGTGATGACTCGTGTTGCTCCTCGCTGGTGATTGCCCAATGGATCGATGTGTTGATTTCGTATGTCGTTTCGATCTATCGTCGGCATGCAATGGGGCGGATAAGAGTGGGTGAGGTTCTTGCGGGGTAGAGGACGCAAGCAGGCCAGGATGCTTATCATGTTGCTAGACTGGAGATGAAATAGAAATATAGTCTCTCCGAGTTGACATCGTTTTCCGTTGGCGCATTTTGGCGCATCTTGGTGCGCATTCTGGTTTGGGAAGTCGTCTGCGAGCGAGCTCAATTAGCCCCGCTTTTCTGCCGTTCTGTGGGTCCCGTTAGCGTCATCTCCACTTACACGCCCCTGTCAACAAAAAGGGAAGGCGTCTGCGAGGTGCCAAGAAAGGCTACACTCGAACGACTTCCGTACTACGAAAGCCAGCCACTACCAAACGACGATGATCGCTATCACCAGCGAGATTTCCCCGGGACCACGGGATGGCTCATGTCTGGTACTGGGATTACAGGACTGTGCAGCCAATGCCTACACAACATGACGTCAAGCAGGACGTCGAACGGCACGTCGAGCTCGGCGTCTGCTTTGCTATGGACCCACCCCTCTTTGGCGTTGCTCAGAGCTTCGTTTTTCTGATGGAGAAGGCCGACTTCGCTAGGTTTTTCCCGTGAGTATGCGGAGTAGGCCGAAGCAGAGTGCTTTTGACTTAATGAGAAAAATGTGAACAAAAAAAAAACGTTTCTTGCTTCTTTTCCTATCCGTTGATACTTAAAGCTTCTTCTACCTTTCCTCACAGCTACCACACACCAACATCAGTTCATTCACCATTCCCTCCTCCCCAGAAGATCATTCATCGTCACCAGAAACTCGTTGCTATGCGTCCCACGCTCCTCCACTGCCTGCTACCAGGCCTGGCCGCAGCTGTCAACGTCGGGCCCAACTATGAGCATCACATAGAAGGTGAGTGAAGACGTGGAGACGGGCCTTCGTGATGGATGCGGCTGACCAGCAGACCTCGATGTCGACCTCCCTTTCTCGCAGCCTGTGACGTTTGCCCATCTCGAGTGGCAGCGCTGCCTGGCCGCGTCGCACAACAAGCCGCTCGACATTGCCCTGCTGGGATTCCCCTACGACACGTCCACGTCGTACCGCCCGGGCGCCCGTTTCGGTCCCCGGGGGATCCGGGCGGGCTCGGCGCGCGAGAAGAAGGGCCGCAGCTACAACACCGTGTGGGGCGTCGACCCGTACGAGCAGGGGCTCGAGATCATCGACTGCGGCGACATTCCCATTACGCCCTTTGACGCGGCGCACGCGTTCAAACAGATGGAGCAGGGCTACCGCCAGGTGCTGTACCACCCCACATCAGACGCGACGGCGTGGAAGCACCCGCGGATCATCAGCCTCGGCGGCGACCACTCCATTGTGCTGCCGATCCTGCGGTCCCTCAAAACCGTGTACGGCTCCATCTCGGTGATCCACCTCGACTCGCACCTCGACACGTGGGACCCGTACGAGGGCTACACGGGCATCCGGTCGAACCAGTCGGCGCTGACGCACGGCACCTTCTTTTGGCACGCGAGCCGCGAGGGGTGCATCGCAAAGGGCACGAGCGTGCACGGCGGCCTGCGCACCAAGCTGTTCAGCCCCAAAGACTACGAGATTGACCGCGACGTCGTGGGGTTCACGCTGATTGAGGCGCACGAGATTGACGAGATCGGCATGGAGGGCATTGTCGCGCGCACACGGGCGGCCGTGGGCGAGACCCCGACGTACCTGTCGATTGACATTGACGTCCTGGACCCGAGCATTGCGCCGGCAACAGGCACGCCCGAGTCCGGTGGCTGGACGATGCGCGAACTGAAGCGGTTTATCAAGGGCCTCGAGGGCGTGAACCTCGTGGGTGCCGACGTGGTCGAGGTGAGCCCGCCGTACGACTCGGTGGCCGAGGTGACGTCGATTGCTGCCGCGGATCTGATTGTGGACATACTGGCAGCCATGGTCAAGGGTAAGGACAAGGCGGTGGGTGCCAAGAAGACGGCTGGTGGCAAGGACGAGCTGTAGGGGACAGGGAAGGTGAATGGGAAATCGTGATGAGAGTGCAGATTGGTTGGATTGGACGAGGCTTGTTGTCTGAGAGTAGTGACTGGGAATGAATCTATGAAATAACAGAATTGGAAATTAAACAATACAAAGCATGCAACAAACAAAACTGCAAGTTTGAAATAGGCGACCGAGTAAAACATGTATGAAAATAGAAGAAGTTGCATAAAAACACCACAAATATACATAAAATCCAAACTCGTAACACCGTAATATGTCATATGGGCAACACAAGCTTCCCCGTCCGAGCCAGGGCCTCCCGCCAACCAATGCGACCGTGGCCCTGCAGCCCCGCCAGTTCCTGCAGCTGCCACACGTCCTGGATGATCTGCCACTGCCGCGCAAAGTTGCCAATCCGGTAGCCATTGACACGCTCCCACCAGACGACCCACAGGGGCCGGTCGGCGGGGGCAGCCTCGCAGGCGGCAATAAAGGCGGGCCACGACATGGGCGCCGTCCGCTTGAGGCCGCCGTGGAAGCGCGCATAGTAGGCGTCCTTCAGGTCTTCGGCCGTCGTGAGCTGGGCCCAGATGATCTGCACCTGGCTGTGGACGTCGACGGACACGGGCGCGGCGCGGCGGTCGTGCAAGCCGTAGGTCTGGAGGGTGCGGTAGTAGTACAGCAGGACGGCGCCGTGGAAGGCGCGTGCCTGGCAGCGGGCAATCTCGCGCATGGTGTGCTGGCCGGCCTCGTTTTCGTCGTCCTCAATGAGGCGAAACGGTTCGTCATCGACGGTCCACGCGGCGAGTTCGTCACCGAGCGCAGCGCAGGCTTGCTGCAGGGTGCGGAGGATCCTGACACCGGGACACGCCTGGGCCATTTGCTGGTAGTAGGCCAGATGCTCGGCCATTTGGCATGTCTTGGCGAGCATGTTGCCCAGCGCCGGGGTGATGCCGTACATGTACTCGACGGCGCGTTCGCTGTCACGGAAGTTGGGGACATTGAACGTGGCCGTGGCTGGCTCGCCAGAGCTGTTCTTGCCTCCCTCTTTCTCCTCGTCCGTCGCCCACGGCCGGGCAACAATCACTGGCGACGTCGTGCGGGCCAAGAGCGTCAAGAACCGGCAGATGCTGTAGATCTGGCTGTTGGCACTGCCGCCGCCATCGACGAGTTCTTGGTCGAGAAAACCGGCCGGCTTTTTGAGTTGGTAGCATGCTTTGAGGTGGACAGGGAAATCAGAGTCCTCGCCGGCCATGGTCTATCGCCGGTTAGCAAGAAAACATGACTAATTCACATCCTGAGAATAGGGAGCGGAAATACAACTTACATCTACCGTCACCAACGACAGCATGGCCGTCAGGTGGATCAGGTACAGCTGCTGGTTCGTCGGATGCAGCGTGGCTGCGTTCAGCGCCTGTAGTGCCTTGATGCGATGTTGCAGCGCCAGCCGGTGGTAGCCAACCGAGCCGTCTGTGGCATTCCGCAAGTGGAACGCGGCAGCCGACAGCAGGCTGTGAAACAAAGACTGAGAAGCAAATGACGTTGGAGAGGCCGTCGTCTGAGCTAGCCACAGTTCGGGACATCCCTCGAGGGCAAAGGAAAAGTACGTAGTCCGCCACGGGTTCCCAGGGTGGTGGACGGGCTGCAGCAGTTCCGCCACGTGGTTGGTGAAGTGGTAGAGGAGGTGCGCGGTCTGCGAATCACGGAGGAGCGGCATGGAGAGACCAAGATGGGGCGAAGTGTCGACGACATTGTCGATAGGAGACGAAGGATTAACGCACTCTGATGGGTCGATGTGTGTCTTGCCAGGGTCGGCGTCCAAGTCAATCGCTGGTAATGCTGCATCGAGCATCGTGGTGATATCTTCCGTAGCCGATGCCGTCTTGGGTAGATTATCGGTGTCTTGGAGTCTCTCCTCCTCCTTCCCTTCCAGTGAACCTTTGAATCCGTCTGCTTGAAAGATGGCAAACGGCCCAATCGTCTCAGTTCTCGTTGCGCCGTCCATGGTATCCAACGTAGTCAATGCCTTCATTATGTCGTCGTCGGACAGAACAGGGCCCGTATGGCGATGCAAAAGACCCCGGCGGCGGGGTCCTGGTAGTGAAGGGGCATGATTTTGTGATTTCTGCTGGCGCAGCCTCTGCGAGGGCCTTTGATACGACTTTTCCCGTTGGGACGCATCTCGACCAGTCGTCACCCAGCACAGCCGCACCTCGTAGCCCGCACACGCCAGCCCGGCACCCTCGCACACGCCGCATCCATTGGTCTCGCGCTCGTCGCACTTGACCTTTCTCGTGCGGCAAGTCCAGCAGCCCGTGAATGTGAGCGATTTGAGGCGGGAGGATGCAGCTCTTGTCGTCGCTGTCGTCGTTGCAGTCGACGAAGAAGACCGTGTGTTGGCCATGCTACGGGTTGAGAGGCATTGTGTATATGATAGTATAATCTGCGGAGGGGTCTGTGGTCTGTGATCGATGAGGTTAAAGATGGGAGTCGTAGCGTCGCCAAGTTGTGATATCACAAGATCGAAGAGTCGCTGGGGCGTCTGCAACAGAGAGCGGAGGCTGCTCCTGAATCGGCTCTGGATCAGCTTATTCTCGACAGGGATTATTGACTTGAAGACGAGTGAATATCTAATGGATTGTGGGCTGGATTGAGGGCTCGGTGGTGACTCGCGTGAGGAAGTGTCGTTTGTTTCTTTTCTTGTTGTTGCCCAGTCTATCTTGCGGGGAAAGCAATCGACTTGTCAAAGGTTTGCTCTAGCGTGCGCGAGACCCAATGACGCCCTCTGGCCGTCACTGAACATTGACAGAAACCATGACTGTTATCAACCATGACGCACCTAGAAAGCTTATCTTGCGAGGGCGATTGGCGCATTTTGCTCGGCATTTTGCGGGGCTGCTCGGAGAGCCAGGTGGGTGGCGCTAGCGAGGGAACAGGCCCTTGTGGGGCACTAATTGAATAACGATAGCGGCTATGGAAACCGGCAAGAACAAAGCAGAGCACAGGCGGTTCTCCCACTATGACTTCTTGCAATGTCAGTTGGGAAGGATACTAAGACTTTCCATAATGACACTTCGTATTTCCTACATCTCATATCAAGAAGGTGATGCAAAGAAAGCTCATATTATAGGTGGATATATAATAAACACAAGAAAGAAGGTAGCAGCACGTTGTAGGCAGTGTTTCGAAAGTGATATCCACTTGAGGGGAAAAAACGAACGGCATCAACAATAAAGTATACAACAAAATAAAAGGAAAAAGTAACAGCCACAGCACTACTTAATCCACTCAAGCAAAACAGTCCTACCTTCCACCTACTGGTTGATCCTAGGTGCTCTGTAGTGCCGCTTGCCGTAGACCAGCCACCAGATGCCAACAAGCAAAGACAGGCCGGCGGTGATGACGCTCGTGTAGTTCATGCTAGCCGCTGACGTGGGCAGGCTGTAGGGGAAGCAGTAGATGACAATGGAGACGACAATGTACGAACACGCGACGCCATTGACCAGATAGCCCCAGCGGCCCATCCAAAACGGGCCGGGCTTCATATTGGAGCGGCGGCTCAACAAGTGCGGGAGGATGGCCAAGAGGTAGGACACGGTCGACAAGACGGCAAACGAGTCGATAAAGGCGTCAAACGCCGTCAGAGACCCGACATAGACGGCGCCGATGAGTGTCATAAAGATGCCGCAGGCAAATGTGGACCACAGCGGGCTCTGGAAACGGTGGCTCACGGAGCCAATCTTGCTCGCAAAGGGGGTGGCGCCGTCGCGGCCGAGGGCATAAAAGGTGCGGCCGGTGGTGACGTAGCAGCCGGAGGTGGCACACAGGATGGGGAGAACAAGGACCATCAGGAGGCCCACGGCACCGGAACGCGAGCCGGTGGCCTGCAGGTAGATGTCGCCAATGGGGCAGAACGGATCGGCATCGGTGATGCTCGCCAGATCGGCCGTGCCGTAAAAGATGACGATCAAATAGGAAAAGCCCGTCAGGAAGCCCATGCCAACCTGGCACGCGAGCGCCTTGGGCAGGTTCCTGCGCGCATTGGGCACCTCCTCGGCAATGTGCGTCACGCAGTCGATGGCGCCCACGGCAAACGCGCCGTTCAGCATGCCTGCCAGAAAGACAAAGCCGTTGCTCGAGTAGCCCGTCAGGTTCTCCCAGCCAGCCCAGACGGAATGGCTCGAGGCATAACCGTTGCCACTCGGTCGCCCAGGCATGACGGCGCAGACGATAATGGTGACAAAGAAGCCGGCGATGATGAGGAACGAGCCGATTCTCGACAGAGTGGGCAGGATTTTCTGGCCAAACATAACGACCATACAACACAGCCACGACATGATGAGGTACGAAATGAAGACGTGCCATCGTTGGTACTCATAGTCTGGGTGGTATAACGAGTAGCAGTACACCAGAATGTTGCTCGTCATGACGCAGTTGGCCGCTACCGCAAAGGCCCATGCCAGGCCGTTGAGCCAGCCGGCGAACCATCCACACACGCGGCCATATTTTGGCCCGGCCGTGATCAGGGCCCAGTGGTAGACGCCGCCGGAGGAGGGGACAGACGAGGCGAGCTCAGCCACGGAGGCGGCGATGAAGCAGTAGAAGAGAGACACGAGGGTGCTACAAAAGACAACGAGTGTTAGCGAGTGGCGTGAGAGTGGGTCGTGGCATAAGCCCGGGACAGAAGATCGCGACACATAAAATGGAGCGCAATATGGGGAAATCGTACTATTCATAGATGGCTCCCGGCGGCCCACCGTTGTAGATGGATGCAATGATGCCCGCGCCAAGCACCGCCCACGAGTTGCCCGTCGTGACGCCCGTGGCACAGGCACTCAGCAGATTGAAGTTGCGGCCCAGCACCTCGCCGTGGCCGGCAAACACCAGCGTGCCTTCGGCAAAATCGACCGTCGGACGATTGTCGCCTTCGGTGACTGACGGTGACAAAGGCGGGTTGGTCACGGTCCTGGACTGCTCACCCTTTTCAAAGTCGGAATTGGACATGATGCTCATGGAATGTCTTTATTGGTGGGTATTTCGGTAGCTATGGAAGGTGATGTTGTTTGTCGACTTCGTCTGTTGACAACGATGGGCCATGAGACAACATGCTCGGGCGTAGTCGACTTATATGTCCGTATCGACAACCGCCCTATGAAGCCCATGTCAGCCCAGAGACTCGTCCATATCAAGGTGCGCCCGTATCGCCATCATCTCGTCAAATCTCATATCATGGTACATCAAGGCATATCATGGCATTGCTATCACCACGGATGCTTGCAGTCTCGCGCTATGGCAGCCATGGTTCCACTGATAGCCGCCACCCATGGCTATCGCATCCTGACCCGAAACCCATGACGACGGTGACGGTCGGATAGCCGTAGTGCATCGCCAGGAGCGGGGAGAGGATTGGCAACGGTCATCACTGTCATCTGCGCTTCGCGTGGCGTTGTCTCCCAGGAGGGCCACCTCGCATGCGAGCCACACTTGGTCGCTGCGAGCTTCCCATTCTTGCTCTTTCCGCTCTTGTCGTGTTTCGGTGCTCGCAGACAACTGCCCGTTTCACGCTTGCCGTTAGTCGCTCGCTGGCAGCTTCCCAGATCGGAATTGTGGGTTTGACGTGGGCTTGTCGGTGGCCTGGTCCTTCTTCACGAGGCCCGCTCTTGCACCTGCCAAACTAGCTGCATGATAACGATAGTCGATAGGGACGCGAACACGCTACATTAGTCGCGCGCTCTTGCCCCTCCCATTGGCTCGCTGCCAACTGCCCTTTTCACTTCACCCTCACCACTCACCTTCAAAACGTCCTCGCCTCACCTTCCCCGCAGAATGCCAACGCCGACAAGCACCGAAGCCCCGTAGCGCGGCGCCAACACGAGTCGTCTCGCCAAATATAATCGATAACGACCACGACACTTTTACTGCGTTTGTTATATAACAACGACGGCATGAGATGGACGCAAACGCACCGCTGCACATGGCAGTTGATAACGACAGCCTCGCCAGAGCCCAAGTGAATCCTGTTATCCCTGTTTACCGTTTTCTTGCTACATCTTCCTTGGCAGCTGTTTATCCCTCCTAGCCAACCCTGCCACTTACTTCATCCAACGATGTCAGTCTATCTCGCAGGCCGCAAGGTCATTTCGTCTGGCACGCTTGCTCCGCGTGCCACAGCCCTCCAGGCCGAACTCGTTGCCGCTTGTGGCAAGGAAAACACGGCCACTCTCAACCTCGACGGCCTGCTCGCCGGCGGCGACAGCCTGAGCCCTGAAATTGAGGCCACCCGTCAGGTCCAGGCGGCCTTTTCCGACCTCAAGGACAATGTTTCCCTCTTTGTCATTGACGCCCGTGACCTCGAGCCCAGCGGCCGCGATCCCATCTGGGAGGTGCCCCTGGACGAGTGGAACCAGCACAAGACCGCTACGCAGGTGGTCCAGCAGCGCACCCTTCTGCAGGTGAAGCTGTTGCTGCAGAAGCAGCTCAGCCTGTCCAAGGACGGCGCCACTCTGCACCCCTTTTTGCTGGTCATCGTCGGCTACCGCGACACATTTGACGGTGCGCTGGATCCCGTCATTGCTAAGCTGCAACGGGACGTGACGTGGTTGCAGCGGGAGTCGTCCGTTGCGTTCCTCGACCTGGCCTCGACGGCCAGCGAGCCCACAGAGCAGTCCATAGCCGCTGCCATTGGCATCCTCGCGGCGTCGCGGTCGTCGCACGGCGTCACGTCCATCAACGCCGTCTGGGGCCTCCGCGGCGCCAACACCAACAACACAGCCTCGTCCCAGGACGCGCCAGACGTCTCCGACCTCTCCATCCACCCGACCCTCGCGAAGAAGAAGCCCACCGTCAAGATTGCCCTTTCCTTCGACTTTGATGCCCTCTCCGCGTTCCTCGGCACCGGTGACCACCCAGACAACAATCTGGCCGACTACAGCACCGGCGTCTTTTCAGGCCGCGTCGGCGCCCGCCGTCTGCTGCGGATGCTCCAGAAATACCAGGTCGCCGACAAGGTCACCTGGTTCATACCCGCCCATACCATGGAGACGTTCCCCGATACGTGCAAGGAAATCACGGAATCGGGCGCCGAGATTGGCCTGCACGGCTACGCCCACGAAGGCGCCTACCAAATGACCGTCGAGCAGGAGCGCGACGTCTTTGCCAAGTGCGTCAAGACGGCCCAGGCGCTGACGGGCAAGAAGGTGCTCGGCTGGCGCGCGCCCATGTACCAGCTGCGCGAGACCAGCATTGCGCTCCTCAAGGAGTTTGAGTTCTTGTACGACTCCTCCCTCAGCCACCACGACTCGCAGCCCTACTTGACCCCCAACGACCCGCCCGTCGAACGCATCGACTTTTCGCAACCGGCCAGCTCCTGGCTCAAACCTACGCCCCTTGGCGGCATGTACGACTGCCGCGACGGCTACCCACTCGTCGAGATTCCAATCGGGTGGAACAACGAAGACATGATGGCCCTCCAGTACTACCCCCACGTCGCCAACACCAACGGCAACGTCGACTCGCGCGTCGTCGAGCAGCGCTGGAAGGACATCTTCTTGTGGCTCTGGGAGAACGGCAAGGCCGAGTCGGACGACGGCACCTTCATCTTCCCGCTGCTGATGCACCCGGACACGAGCGGCCTCGCGCACGTCATGGCCATGGCGGACCGGTTTGTCGGCTGGCTGCGGAGCTGGGGCGACTCGGTGGAGTTTGCAACGTACGAGACGATTGCCCGCGAATTCCTCAGCAAGAAGGGCATGACGCCCAAGGTGTAAACCAAATGGTGAGAATAAGAAATGTTATTTAGTCCCTGATATTGTACACGAAGAATGAGGTATGACAAACGACGAAATGTTGCTATATGATATGCTAAAATGTGAAATGGCGTGAAAAGTGGACGCAACATGGCTTGAAAAGCACGATGATTGGCAGCGACGCCGATGGTGTTGTTATAATATTTATTTTCAACGATAATAATTTGCAACATCGAAATTCAAACAAACGAGAAATCGATTTGAAGAATTTTTTTTTTAAAAAAAAAACACAAGTGGCAACCCCTACCACGAATTTGGACGTCCATTCGTGCCACAACCTCCAGTGCAGTTTCCTTCGTATGGGATAAACCTTCTGAAACCATTGACCACGTGAATTGCACCTGCTTCGTTGAGCCTATTTTCATTGCACTTACCAAACATAACGGGGCCATGTAAACAAAGACTCGCACTTGCCTTAATTTGACGGTGTCGTGTAACCAGCGATAAACGCAGGTAAACAATCTCAGACTCTCAACTTAAAAAAAAAAAAAAAAAAATTACCGACGTCCAACACATATCATCCCCTCATCCATCCACCAACACAACAACAACTGTCCAACAAGACCGGAGCGTCGGACATTATCTACCTCATATATACATAAAGTCATTCAAAACGCCAATGGTATGTGTACCTTGGGCCACAACGAGAAAACACATTGTTGACCATCCAACTAACAGAAATCCCGGCATCAGCAAGATACGAAGCCAAACACAAAACCGTCAAGCGACAGAAAATTGCTGTCCAAGATGGCCAAAGCATGTTTCCCTTAGACTACTGTTGAATGGCAATGATGTGGAAGTCCTGGCTAACAAAGTTGCCATAGACGAACAATCCTGCCCAACAGGCAGATGACGTTTCGGCCCACGGGGCCCGTCCCACCCTCCCCACCCGCTTCACCCCTGCCCATTCCCAAATCTGCTGCTGTGGCTCCCGCGCCCGTGCCCGGCTCCGCCTCCCTCGAGCACGCCACCGGACCAAACTCCCCGTCGCCCCCACTCCCCGTCCCAGGCTCTGCCTCGCCCGGTTGGATGCCGGACATTTCCTCATCGCCCCCTCTTCCGGCGGTTTCTGCTGCCGGAGGATCCCGCACCCGCCACCTCCCCCTCACCCAGCCGCCCCGGCTGAGTGCTTATCAGGAATGGTGCGGGCGGCATAGATGGACGACGACGAAGACCCGAGTTCCGATGGCAGCTCGTATGAGCCGGATGCTGGGGACGAGGAAGACAACTCTACATGTGCCACCAACCGCAGTCGTTCGTCTATCGCCCCTGAATGTATTAATACGTTCTGCCAGATCTGTTGCAAGCGGTAGAATACACGCAAAATACTAGATAACAGTTCAAGCTGGGTGAAAATAAATGCAACACCGAGGGAGAACACCATGAAATCGAAGAAAAAATACAGTGCCAGTGAGTCGTCGTGTGCTCAATAATGGCAGTAATTGATAATAAAGTAAAATTATTGAAATCTATACTTGGATACTGTGACTAGAGGTTCTGGTGACACAAACAACAAACTGCCATTGTAAACTGCCTGTTTCCCTTTCGAATCTCGATCTTTTTAATAGTGAGTTTAACCTTTGTGACTGGATAAGTTTGCCTTGGAATTTGATACGCATCCCTACGTCTTTGTCAAGGAAATCAGAAAACTGTGCAAAGTATTACAGCGGGTTCGACTTCGAATCATCTTCACTTGGGATAGGCGATTGCAACATCTATTGAAACCGAACCACGCACAAAATAAAAACCACAACTCGAACTCAAGTTGGCCTGACTTACGGGCCAGAGGACCAAAAAATTCAGTATAGTAACAGAGATCATTCGCCTCCAACATTGGGAAAGTTACTTGTCTCCAAGCTTACTAGTGAGCTACATTGATATGTTCCTCTGTCACACACGCCTACTAACCTTATTCAGCACACCTTTTCTTTTGCAGCATTCTATACTTTTCGTCACCAACCATAAAACTCAAAAACCAAATGCAATTACTCGTCGTCCTCAGTTCGCCTTTCTTCATTTTAGGTTCATGCCATCAGAGTTCAAGCGTTGGACAAAAGCAAGCCTTCTAACCCCCTCCATTTCCTACTTGGGCATATTCGGGTTAAAGAGAAAAATAAAACGTATCACACTTCAAACGCCCCCAGACTTTTCAAGCAGTAGCACAGGCAAGACCACAGGCCATGGCAATTTGGGCTGCTCTCCCGCTGGAAATCCGGCACATGATTTTTGGATATGTTGCAGGCGGGCCGTATCCACCGCGATCTCGGAAACTGACGGAATGTGTCGACGAAAACGAGGCCCTCGCAAGCTACGCCAGTGTATCATGCGAGTGGCGGTACGTCTTTGAGCAGTATACATTTCGAACGTTGAGTGTCCGTGCCAGCGATCTCCCTGCCTTTTGTGCTGCTGTAGCTGGCGACCCGGTGGTTCGTCTGTCCTACATCACGAGATTGCGGCTGATGATTCCCCTCAGCGAGTACGACTGCTCAGTCTGTGACACTAAAGAAAGCGAGGAGGAGTCGCAAAAGAACAACGCTGTCTTTGCAGCAACGATTTTTCCGCTGCTCACGGCTCTGTCGGCATGGACGCTGTCAGGGCCGATGTCAAGGGGCATCTATACCGGAGGACTCGACTTGTCATTGTTCGTCTATTCGCCCAGCGATCTGCAGCACTCCATTTACAATTTTTGGGGCCATTTCGAACCGTCCGGGAGCTGCCTCCCTATGCGCACCTGCTACGAGCTCCGCCTGCTTCGCAATGGTGTGACCAACTACAAGCATGGATGGGTGGCCGGCAAACGCACGGCAGCACCTCCTTTGGAGGCCGCAGAGCGCGTCCTAGGCAGACGTATGCTGCAACTGGAGACGCTTGGTGTGCCGGAGACGGTCACCCTTCCAAAGTTGAGCATTATACGGTCATTTAGCATGGTGAGAGGTTTCTACCGTGCCATCCACCCTCGACTTCTCGGACAGCTCATCGTGGCCTGCCCGAGACTGCGTTCGGTTCACATGGAGCAGTGGCGGCCCGTCGATGTGGACAGTCTGGAGGATGCAGAACAAGGTGCGTAGCGCTGTCCGGATCTGACTGGTCCGACTTCCATATATGATAGTTAACGCTGCCCTCTCCTAACACGGCATATTCCAGGCTACATATCCTTATTCAACAGCCCACTGCCAAAGACGCTCAAGTCCCTTACGCTCCATCAGGATACCAATGCCACTATGCATGACTGGGAGGACCCTTTAACGAATCAGGAACCGTGCCGAAAGGTCGGCTGGCGCTTGGGCAAGGCCAGCAATTACCTTGAGACGGTGGCGGTCTCGTTTTGGGCGGACGCATGCGACTTTTTTATGGGCGGCTTTCGGGCACCTGTACCAGGGGATATCTGCACCTGCTCTCGCTATATGGTAGGGGGCCGGCGAGACTGGGCGATACGAGTGCAACAGCAGTTACAGCAGTTACAATCAGGCGAGCGTGTCAAGTTTGACGGCTGGCCACGGCTGCGCCACCTCGTCTTGACGTCGACCATGTTGATTTCCATTTCCCTGGACGACATTCACGAGCTCCTCGGGGTCGCCGCCTTTGCGGCCCGCTTCATGCCCCGCTTGGAAACAATGGAAATCTGGTTTGCTCAAGAGAGTGGTCCGACGACGGCTGTCTTTCGCTTTTGCCCGCAACCAAAGGCAGGCAGTGGTGGTGATGGTGGTGGTCCGCCCACGCTCTCATTCTGTACCACGTTGAGAGGGACTGACGCAGAGACCGACGCAGAAACTGAGGCAGAGACTGAGGCAGAGACTGAGGCAGAGACTGAGGCAGAGTATGGCGAAGAGTCTGGAGCAGAGTATGGATCGGAGCACGACGCAGATATTGAGTTTGACTTGTACAACGCAGAGTATGAGACAGAGACTGGGGCCAACGTACCTTTCCGTATTGCTGATGTTTTGGCACCTCATATCGTCCGTCGCTTCTAGAATGTGGTCACACACCACGCAAGACAACGTCGCCGACGCCATCATGGCAACAGCGGCCACGACCCATCTGGCTCGGCCCCAGGCTCTACTCTGAAGCTTCAGGTGCATACCGAGACGTGGCCAAGCATCGACGAGTTTGGACAGCCGATTGATGGGCGGATCCAGGCACTCGACCACATGGTGCTGGCGCCCGCGATTCTGACGGGCCGTTCACGCAGGGCAATGCGTTTTGAGCACGGAGATGGCTTCGACATGATGTAAGCGGAGTTTGGCAGAGGAGAGGACTGGGAATGGGTGGTGCTACTGTCACGAAACGAGATTTGTATTTGTTTGGTGTGTTTGGTGTGTTTATTGTAATTTTTTTGCCCCTTTCAGTCTGGCACACATACGTCTCTTATTCAGCCAACCTTCGAGTCGACGCAGAGTATGCTTTTCGTCCCCAACCACAAAGTTTAGAACATGAATATATATGTGTACTTCAGTCACCTCTTGACACCCCTTCAGTTTTAAGTTCAGTTTGTTCGAAATCTAACAACACCCAATTTTTATTTTATTTTTGGAATTGTACCCCTTGGTCTCCAGTCGTTTCTAACCATACCACAAACAATGCAAACCATGGCAAATTGGGCCGCTCTTCCGCTGGAAATCCGGGAAATAATATTTGGATATATTCTCGGTGCACCCTTTCCCCTTCAATCCCAGAAGCTCCTTGAAAAGGCCGCAGACGGCGAGGCTGTCGCAAACTATGCCTGCGTTTCGCGTGAATGGCAGCGCGTCTTTGAGCAGTGCACGTTTCAAACCTTGGGCTTCAATGCCAGTGATATCTCCACGTTTTGTGCAGCAGTTGAGGGCGACCAGGTTGTTCGTTTATCCTACATCACGAGATTGCAGCTTTTCATTCCCCTTGCCGAATACGACTGTTCTCTCTGTTCGTCCGAAGAGAGCGAGGACGAGGCGACAAGAAATAGCATTGTTTTTACGGAGCTATTTCTACAGCTGTTGTTCGCCTTGTCGGCATGGAAAATGTCAGATATGAAAAGTGGAAATGGAGATCTTTCGAAAAAGGGGCTTACACTTACCCTGTCTGTCTTTTCGCGCAGTGATTCGAAGCACTCGTTTCATAACTTCTGGCGCCATTTTCACGTCATGGACGACAATCATCCATGGTCCACCCGTGGCAAGCTCCGTGCCCGACGCAAAAAAGTGACCAGCACGCAACATGGATGGATTCGCGGCATGCGTTCAGCTCAACCGTCCCGTGCTGCCGCTCAACGTGTCTTGGGCAGACTCATGCTTGCAATGAACGTCGGCGGCCTAAACAACCAATACTCTACCGGCTCTAAGGAAGATCAAAACAACAAGACGCCCAATACGGTCGTGACCCCGAGAGTCTTGCCAACAATAGAAATTATTCGGCACTTTAAAATGACTCGACGGTTCTGCCGCACGATTCACCCGTGTCTTCTCGCGCAGCTCGTCGCGTCCTGTCCGTCGTTACAAAGTGTTCACCTGGAACAGTGGCGGCCCGTCGACATTGACAATATGGAAGACGTCGAGCACGGTACGTCGTCATTTCAGAATGTCAAAATATTCCCCTCCGCCACCAGCCGCCTTGTCCTTCTCTCTGCCCTATTTCCAGATTCCCCTAGATAGATCACAGAGTACTAATATCGCATCAGGCTATGTCTCCATGTTCAGCAGTCCACTGCCGACGACGCTCACGTCCTTCTGTCTCTACCAGGACTCGCATATCAGTATGCACAACCAGCTCGATTCCCTCCTACTTCGGACACCGTGTCGTAAGATTGGCCGGCGCCTGGCCCAGGCATGCCGGACGCTCGAAACGGCGGCCGTCTCATTTTGGGCGGAAGCCGATGACTTCTTCAGAGCCACCCAGCAGACGCCAAGAACAGGGGACACTTGTAACTGCTCACAATGCTTCATCAGCGCTATCGAGATGCAAGGTCAGGAGTCGAAGCCAGAAGACAACAGCCCCGATGAGCCCGTTGAGCAATGGCCACGGCTCCGCAACCTTGCATTAACGTCGTCGACATTGATGACCGACTCTCTAGAACAAGTCCATGTACTCCTGCGATGCGCCGCCCAAGCCGCGGCACGCATGCCGGCGCTCCAGACGATGGAAATATGGTTTGCATACGAGAGCTCTTACCATGCCTCTGTGTTTCGTTTTCAGCCGCATCAGTATGCACCCACGCTGTCATCCGCTCTGTCGACCAACCAGTCGGCCGGCCAGTCGGCCAATTGGTGGCACATTACTTGCCCCTCTCTGTCCTTCTATTCGACATCACCCACGGACATTGTGCCTTTCCGTGTAGACGAGGTTTTATCGCCGAGCATCGTCCGGCTTTTCCAGGGCGTCGTGGACGGCTATGCCAGCAAGGAATGCAGCTGGGGCCGCCGCCCCCCGTCCAACCCGTCCATGCCCCTCACAATACATACTGAGACGTGGTCGACGCGTGGCGAATTCGGCATTCCACTTGATGGGCGAACCCATGCACTGGACAATATGGTCCTGGCGCCCCATATTCTGACGGCCCGCTCACGCAAGGTGATGCGTTTTGAGCGCCGTGAAGTGCTTGATATGATGTGAATTGAAGCACAATGGTTGGCAAGGAAGTCTATGGGATAGTTTATGGGATCTTGGAGTATATTTTTCTTTTGGTTGCGTTCTTTTGAGGGAGTAGGAATGTCGGATGATTTGTCAAACAACTTGATCCAGTGGGGGAGACTTGGCTGCGAGCACGGTGGGACTGTACGTTTATGTGCTTTGTTGTGTTGGCTGCCCTCGTGTAGGCTATTTTAGAATTTTTGCGGCGAATCGAGCAAATATATTTTTAGTCATACATGTACAGAGTATCTGGGAGATTCTTACGTGCTATCCAATCCCGACGTAATGTCCCTTAGTCCATGCCTTCGTCGTCATCCACCTCGGCGGCATCTTCGCTGATGCGCGCCACCAGCTGGGGCAGCGTCGGGCGGAACGGCCAGCGCATCCACGCATCCAAAATCTCGACCCACTGTGTTTCGTTGAGCGACCGCGCCGACAGCTCGCCGTAGGGCCCGCCGACGGGCACACCACCGCGACGACGGTCGACGAGGCTTGGGCAGTGGGGCAGCACACCATCCGCAGCGCCGGGCCAGACGAACTCGATGGCTTTGCGGACGGGCTCCGCGCCGACGGACAGCATGCCGCGGAGGATGAGTTCAAAGATGTCGCCCGAGTGGCCGAGGTCGTGTGTGGGTGTCAACGGGGGTGTAGAAGTGGGTGTTGTTGATGACTCAGTGGCAGCCGACTCCGTTACTGCCGCCGCCGCCGCTGCCCCCTTGGAAACTGTCCGCAGCAGAGGATGCATCGCCTTTGGCTGAATGTCCAGCAGCGAGCACGGCGCATTGGGAAAGAACTCGTCGTCGCGCACCAACAGCGGCTCGAGCGTCCGCCGATCCCATGACAGCACGGGCGGGTCCTGGCGGAAGACGTGCAGGTTGTCCCTGTACAAGGCAAAGTCTTGTCGGTCCGAGCCGGAGAGGGCGTCGATCTCGGCGTTCCACTGGTCTTCGCGCCGCCGAATGTTGTGCGTCCGCGTGGCGTGGACGTCGTGCTCGTCGGCGAGGGCGTCGCGTCTCTGCAGCAGGGAGTGCACGGCCTCGGCCACCTTGGCCTCGCGGTTGCCGCGGTACTGCAGCTGCAACATGCGGCGGTGCTCGGCTGACTTGGGCGCAAACTCGCCGGCCGCGAACCGGGCCTCGAGGTCCTTTTGCTCGCCGTGGAACGGCCGGGGGAACACGGGCGGCGCATCGAGATCGGCCGGGTCTTTGGGGGGGACCTTTGGTTTGGGCCCGCTGCGTCCGCGGCGCAGCGCGGCCACGTGCTCGGGCTCGCGGGTCTTGGGCATCTTGACACCCGCCGCGTGCATGCGCGCCAGGGCCCCGCGCGAGCTGGCCACGTCCAGCTTGGTGTCGCGCACAAACCAGGACGAGGCGTGCTGCGGGCCCGCCACCTCGGTGATCCACTCCGTGGCGAGCTCGCCGTCCACGGCCAGCCGCCGGCGGCGCTGCACCGACCGGGCCAGCAGCGCGTGCCGGTCGCTGCTCTCGACCCACACGAGCATGCGCACGAGTCCGTACTTGTGGAAGAGCGACGACGCCCGGATGCTGTTGATGAACTGGTAGAGGACCAGGTGCGTCAGCGACTCGAACATGCTGAAGCGGCGCTTGGGGAAAAACGCCAGGTTGGCCGTGACGAGCAGCGTGTCGTTGCGCTGCGGTGGGTCGGCGAGGTTGGCGACGGGCGTCTGGTGCGGCAGGTATTCGGGCGTCAAGACGTTGCTGAGCTCGCGCCAGATGATGCCGGATTTGGGGACGAGCGTGACGTTGGGCTTGTCGAGCAGCGGCTGCAGGAAGGGCGTGTAGAGCGCGGCGTCCGGCTCCAGCAGGATGTGCGACCGTGGCTTGAGGGCCTTGTGCAGTGTCTGGCTCCAGAGGCCGGCACCGGGGTAAATGTCGATGATGTCGCAGCCGGTGTGGCGCGGACGGAGGGACTTGGACATGTATTTCAAGATGTCTTTGCACAGTGGCTCGCTGACAATGTTGACGCGATTCTTGTCGCCTTTGACCTTTTTGGCTCTTGGACTCATCGAGGCAGTCTTTGCATTCGTCTCGGCCGCATCCGTGCCCTCTGTCTTTCTCGCCCATCGGCCATAGTGCCAGATTCCTGTAGCGCCCAGCTGCTCGGCCAGGGGCGATCTTGTTTGTAGCTTCTGTTTGCTAAGCTGGTTGGACTTGGTTGCTTTGGTGGCGGTTGTCTTCGTGACAGTGGCTTTCGCAGCAGCCGTCTTCGTGTCGGCCGTCTTGGTCTTGGTAGATGTGGTCCTCGGAGCAGTCGTCTTGGTAGCTATGCCATTGGTGCTGGCAGCTTTTGTGCTGGCGGCTTTGCTCCGGCATCGGGGGCACACGAAGACGGGGAGGCGCCATTGTGGTCGAGGTGTGGCCTGAGACACGGTGCCCAGGATGGACCGCCGTGTGTTTCGAGCCGCTAACATAGAGGACGTCCGGCGTAGGTGTGTCGGGTTTGGGGGGTGTCAAGTTTGCGAAGTGTCGACGTGAAGAAGTGCGACACGCAAACAAAGCCATAAACTTTTTGGCGGTCGAGAGCGGCAGAAATGCAATGGCTAGACGGCTTTTAGCTTTATCGATAAGTTTATTGCGCTACAAATTGGTAATATTACGACGTATAATTACATGCTCTAAAATACAGGCACACAAGCACTAAGGTACAGCACTCGGTCACTAGAATGGAATACTGCATAGCAAAATAAACCAGAGCACTCCCCTCAACCGCCTACTTTACATAAATGGGCGACCAAAAAGAATCTGCTCCCCTCTCCGGACCCAACGAAGTCGGTGACAAGTACGACAGCGGTGTGTTCGGCGACGATGGCGAGTCCCTCGACTGTGGCGAGAACAGTATCGAATCCGCCATGGTGGCCTGGGACGCAAACGACCTGGCCGATAGAGGTGGCGGCGGCGGTGGCGGTGGTGGTGCGCGCGGTGGTGCGCGAGGTGGTGGTGGCAGACGCGTCGTAAATCGGTTGCTCGAGACAGGTGGGTGCGTCTTGAGTCGAGGAAGGCCACTGGGGCGGACCCGTCCGGGAGTGGCTGTCTTCTTTGCAGCCGCCAGGGAGGGCACCGGTATATGGCTGACAGACATCTTGGCCAGGCTTTTAAAGACGCGTTCGAGGCGGTAGCGCGTGCCAAAAACGGGATCCAACAGCTCCTGGGCCGATCCGGTAGCACACTTGGCCATGACAGCATCCGCGTTGGTGGCGCTGCACCCGAGAAGGGCGGTCCAGCGGCGCCAGAGACGGCATTGGTTGGCCGACAAGACACGCAGTAGGTCCGTCTGGGGCAGGTGGTAGCGGTAGAGGCGGGGGCTGAGGAGATGGAAGACCCAGTTGTCGACGGCGTAGGACAGCAACGAGAAGGGGTGGCTGGCGACGTCGAGTTGGCGTTTGCTGACGCCGCTGACCTCGAAGGCATCGAGACACGTCAGGCATGCCTGCAGCATGGAGTAGTGTGCACGGTCGGCAAAGTCGGCGGCAAGGTCGTCGGCCGTCTGGTTTTCCGACTGCAGGTCGTCCTCGAAGAAATCAAAGCTCGGCCGGGGACTGTCGTACAGGTCGGGACTCAGGCCGGGGCTTGTGGTCGGACTGGTGGTCGAATTCGTCAAGCACACAAATCCACGTCCGTGCAAAAAGAAGTTGCGGACAGATTCGTGGATAAAGCGGACGCGTCGGAGGCCCTGATTCTGTTGTTCGTACATTGTGCCCCTGCTTGCGGTTCTCTGGCCGCCGCCGCCGCCGCCACCGCTGCTTCCACTACCACTACGTGAATGGGAGTGAGAGTGCGTATGGGTGTGGGCGCGGGCGTGCATCGGCACCGGTGACTGCGGCAGCAGCTCCAGCAACCCAATGGACCGGCTGCGTACCCAGCTGTAGAATTGCACGGGTCCATCAAACGCACTGTCTCCAGTGCGGCTGAGGCCATGTAGAGAGGTGGGTGGGCCAATGTGCAGTGGAGACGGTCCCTGATGAGACTGCTTCGACAACTGAATCGCCGTCCGCAAATCGTCCAGGCGCAGCGGCTCGGGCGCAAACAGCAACCACTGCATGAGCAGAAGCGTCTCGGCCTTTTCATCGGGGCCGAGCGTGCTGAACAACCACTCATAGAGCCCGTCGATGTCGCCTGGCATTTCGGCAACAGCTTCTTCGACCAGGTCCTCGGTGGCACCCTCCTCAATGGCCGCGTTCAGGATGCTGACGACAATCTCGGCCCACAGGAAACAGCCTCCCGCCTTCTGGCCGATGCGCACGACGGTGCTGTGGCGGTCGGCCCACTCGGCAATGAGGTTGAGGCTGACGTACCGCAGGATGTCGTCGATATTCTGCTGGTGCATGACAACCTCGATGGCGTTGTCGAGCACGATCTCGGGGTGGGCAGTGGTGGCGACACAGATGCTGTAGTCGGAGTTGGCGGCGAGCTGCGAGAGGTAGTAGAGCATGTCCTGCAGGTAGGAGATACCACAGTCGTCGGTGGCGTCCACAAAGATAAATGTGCGGCGTGTGGGTGTCTCGATCTTCTGGTCCACGTAGTCGTCGACGAAGAAGGTGACCACTTGGGCGTCGTCAAACGAGATGGACGTGCCTGAGCCGGTCGACGTGCGCTGGCATACAGACGCCAGTGCCTTTCGTAGGCGGGGATCCTGGAAGTAGAGCTGCGCCAAAAGACTGCGATACACGCCAGCCGGCGACGTGGCGTATTGTTGGTGTGGACGGTGCTTGCCGGGAAAGAAGACGCTGTTGACCGTATCGCCCTCGGCCAAGCTCCATACAAAGTTGCTGTTCAGAGGGCCCCATTGCCGCTCGACACGGCCCCGCAGCGACTTGAGAAGCACCGACTTGCCCGAACCCGGTCGACCCTTGATCCAAAGAATGCGATTGCGGCCGCCGCTCGATCGCTGATGCCAGGCCCGGAACTCGGGGAGGTCATAGAGCCAGAGGCCAGTGCCGGGGTACGACTCGACGCGGGCCGTGGCGGCGCTGGACACGCTTTGGGGGAGTGTGGTCGTCGGCTGGGAGGCCAGCGCACGGAGGACTTCCTCTTCTTTAGGAGTAAGGTCGCGGAGCTGGAAGATGATTAGTCACTGAGATGTCTGCGTATCCAATATGCAGCGCAGTGCGGCGTTGTACTCACTCTATGGATTTCATCGTGGACAAAGCGCAAAAGATAAAACGACAATGAACGATACACGGGATTCTCGGCCGAGCTGAAGCGAGCCAGGTCCGCGTGGCTGGCCTCCACGGGCTCGCACCGCTCGCGGGGATCGCCAAAGGAAGCAGCCTCCCGCCGCAGCGTGTTCTGTTGCTCGCTCTGGCTGATGGCGCTGTTGTGGCTTCTGTCGGCTTCCTGGAACGTCTTGACGCGGAAGTTGTAGTCGTTCCAGAGCCGCACAAAAGCCTGCCGCCCCATCTCCAAAACGGACGTCTGTCTGCTCCGGGTGTTGTCGATGACCCCACACAGGTCCTGCAGGACTTCGTCGTGCGAGCTGACCCCCAGGGCCTGTCCGGCCAAGTGTTTGACGGCATCATGCAGAGTGCCATACTGGCTGTCACGGTGGGGCGAGCCGAAGAAGACGACACCAGCCAACGACTGCAGAACATCCTTTTGTGCCGGCTCGTCCGATGCTTCTGCTCGGCAGAGGAGCTCCTTGACAACAATGCCCCCCAGTCCGTGGGCGACAACGACAAGAGAGCGGCCGGCTGTACGCGAATCTCGGCGAAATGCGGCCAGTTCTCGGAGCAGGTCCGCCGCGTGGTCAAAGATGTTGTTCTGTGCGGGCAGAAGGCGGCCCTTGGTGGACAGTGTCTGGCAGCCCCAGGTGATGATGCGGGTATTTGGGCACGACGCGGGTAGAAGGTCGAGGGGCCAGTAGACGGACGGATGCGACGGGTCGTCCGCTGGCGGTTGTTGTTGCCGTGTCTGCGACGTGTCGTCGACCAACGTCCTGCCCAGCCGCAGACGTGATGTTGACTTGGTTCGTCGCAGGCGGGACTCGTCCACTGTCGCAGCTGCCGTCCTCGCCGCCGCCGTCGTCACTGTCGAGTGTGCTACCGCGCCTGCCAGCAGCAACAGCTTCGACTCGGAGCGGGTCGTAGTCGGATAGTTGGGGTAGTCGCTCTTGCGCGCGTAGTTGTTCTTGCGCAGGACGCGTCGCTGGCGTGGCGTCGGCAGTGTCATGGGCAGCGGCGGTTGCACATCTTCGTCTTTCAGCTTCTCCCTGTCACGCCTGTCTCGCTCCCTTTCCTCCGCCTTCTTCCGTAGCGACCCCTCGCGCGACAGGCTTGCATTCGACAGACAGCGCTTGAGCGAATTTGAATTCTTGCGGACAAGCTCGCGCAGTGACCCCCGTCGCCGTGGGAGGCCATCGCCGGTGCCACCTTTGGGCGTGTCTTGTGATCCGGGCGATTCCGATGTGCTGTTTGTGGTGTGCTGCCAAGTCCGGACCGGGTGGCCTCCAGGACCCGAGACGAAGAGGATGCTGTCGACGTTAGCCGTGAATGTGTCCAGAACGGGGAACAAAAGGGGTACAACGAGTCATCACTGGCCACAAAACATACTCAATGACGGCATTCCTGGCTTCGTCCGGCTCAAAGAGGACTGTCAGCCCCGATGCTGGGACTGCCTCCTTTGTCAGTTTCATCGTGTCAAGTCATGCATGGAACGAGTTAGTGAGCAGAGGACAGGAAGACAGATGGATAGGAGGACAGTCGTAGCCCCTGGATTTTAAGATTGTCGTTTGTGCGCGTCCGCCGAGCTTGGCTCGTCTTGTTTGTCTTGCCCGTGTCGTGTACGATGGTTGCACAGCTCTGACACAACAAGCAGAAACATTGGCGAACGGTGCATGGTCAATCGAAGTGAGTGAGGAGAGAATGGTGCTGGCCAGAACTGCTGGCCAGAACGCCACAGCCAATAGGTCGGTCACAAAATCAGTCAAAACAAAATCTGGATTCCATCCCGTCCAAGGCAGCTCCGTGCTCTGTGAGGCAGGAGCGTGACAGGCCGTTCACGCCTTCCTCGGGCCAGCCGTGTGCCTTGACCTCTGCTCAACAGAAATAACAAGACAGACATAGCATCGAAGACTGGCAATAGCCTGGACAAATAAGCGTTTCTCTCCATTTTTTTGGCTTGTTCTTCGTGCTCTTTGCTGGCCTGCACTATCAAGCCGCGGTGCGGCAAAATACCCGACTCGGCTGTTTTTGTCGTTTTCTTACTATCGGTCAGTTGTCCAGCCGGTGAACGGCGCGTACAGCGAGACGAGTGGGAATCGAGTGGGAGACACTCAAAGGAGTGCTAATGGGGGGGAAAAGGCAGAAAAGAGCTTCTACCGCCAGCTTCCAGGCGCCCGGCAAAGCTTCAACGGTTCACTCGAACGATGCTCGCTGCGGCAGCTCACTCAAGCTGTATTGGTCGATGCAGTTCAAGCTCGGGCGACAACGGACGCAATTTGAATTTGGAGAGTATATAGTGAAACATTCCAGGTCATATTTTGTCTTTCTCGAAGATATTATTAAGAAGTCGAACATAACACAAACGCCCTGCAAATTTCTGGGGACGTCAAGATGTGCTGTTTTTCTATGGGACATAAATAAGTGGGTCTTCCTGCTTATGGTATACGGCGATTTGCCCCCGCAAAAGCCCAAACCCCGAACGCTTCCGTGCAGCATCTCGGTTTCGATGATTTCAACAAGACAAACCAGGCAGCCTATGCATCCGACAGCCGCTACCAACACGAGCGACAGTCTCAAGACGTGATTTCGACTCCGACTCCGACGCCGACTTCATTCCTGAGCCCCGCAAGATGGCTCCGTGGAGCCTCATCATCCGTGCCGTTATGGCCTTGGAAGACGTCTTCGTCCAGCGCGTAAGTCCATCATATGATCCCCGTCCTCGTCCGAGACTCTTCGTCGATTGCGCGTTAGGCTCATCTCTAACGTGATGCCGTGCAGCTCCTCGCAAGCCCCAGCTTCCACCATGTCGTCCGCCGCATCCACCGCGGCGTGCAAGAAGCGCGCTACGGCCGCGACCCCAATGAACCCCTCCGGAAAGGCGAAGCAACGGCCGACCCGAGCACGAACGGCAGTGGCGGTCGCCGCGGTTTTCTAAGTCACTTCATCGAGGAGCTCGGCCTCCAGGCGCGCGGCCGGGCGACGCAGATCCCCAAGGATCTTCCAGCGAAGAAGAAGAAGTGAGGCGGCCTGACACCACCACAGAACGATAACACGACGAGCGGCGCGAAAACCTGCGACTCCCACCGCGAGACACAGCGTGTCGACCAGCATATTCCTGACATGTCGCGCCGTAGAACCGCACTCCTCGCGATACCATCGACACCACCACAGATCTCGCCCATAGCAGGACATCAGTTTGTCATGGGGGTTCACCATGTGTACTTTGCTCACCGAGACTATCACGGCTACAACGGAGCTGTCAAAGATGACATGATTTCCGAGAGCGACGCAGTGTGGCCATGGCCGGCTACAGTCGTGCTCCGGGTGCGGGCACGAAACAAAAGCGGCAGGTCGAAAGGCACAGCGTTGCTGTCTGGCACACAGGTCAGCCCGGGCCTGAATGACGTAACACTACGAGAAGCGAGACACGAGAAACGAAAAACGTGAAACGAATCAAACACCTAGGCACACTGCAGATGCATGAATGAATGGGAGGTTGTATTCTGCAACAACACAACAATTTCCGCGGCCATAGCGACGTCCGTGACGGAAGCGGCAGCCATCAGCAGGTACCGGTGACTATCATCATAGGTCCGTTGTGCGGCGTCGCCGATCGGCGAGTTTTTGGAAAGAAGTCGTCCATGCAAATGGCGATGCTCAAGAAGATACAGATGCATGGCAGGCCATACTGGATAGCACCAAAGAAGCGGCTCTTGGGGATGTGCGTGACGGGGAGCTGGATCTGGTCTTTTTCCGAGGATTTCTTCCTCCCCTGCCATTGTCGTCGTTGTCGTTCAATATTGACAACCAGGAGGCTGACCAAGCACGGAAGTCAGTCGAACCAGCCGAGATCAGTAGAAAAGAAGGGATAACCAAAAGAATGGATTGCTCTTGTAGGTTTGTACTTTTCCTCATTTGTGAGATCTTCTCTCAGAATAACATTTACGGGAATGATGGCTGGCCTGCTCCAGTACAATGCTGTGTTACGGTGACCTGGATATTGGTCGCATGTCAGACTTTTCTCGTACTTTTTGTGAGGCATTGTGGTGGACGGTGGATGTGTTTGTGTCGTGTCTGAGAGTGTGAAATGGTAAAGTCAAGTTGCCATGAACGGATGCGAATGACAAGTCGATTGGTGGAAATTAGGAGTAGAAAATTAATATATGGATATTAAGGACAGAGGTATGTGGCATGGGGTCAGGAAGTAGGCAAGTTGAGCCGAGGCAAATGAACAACAAATATTCCAGGTTGACCGAAAATGTACCCAAAAGCACATCCACAGACCGCCGCGTGGGCGTTGTTCCCATTCAGCCAGAGTGCACGGTCCGTCCAAAGATGGCAAGCAATATATGGCCGGACCTCAATCGACGCACATCTACGGGTGGTTGTTTTCCACAGTACGTTCTAGGTTAAAACGCAATTTCGTAATTCCAACAGCTGCACCCACTATGCGCGAAGTCGTGAACGTGCCGCGGCGTTCGTGAGAGTACAAGTGCGGGCCGCATCCATGTCTGTCAAGGTCATCAATCCAGGCATATCGTCTTCTGATCATTGTCGTAGTCACTGTGACGTGTCCACCGTCTGCCCACCATGGTCTTCCTGAAAGTCGCCACGCCAGCCGTGGCCGTGGCCGTGTCTCTCTTCTCGCTGCCGTCGGCCTCAGCTTCGCTCACCGCCGGCAACTGCACCGCGCCGTTTGTGCCCATCACGGCCACCGAGTTTGTCCAGAACCTCAACCCGGGCTGGAACCTGGGCAACACGCTCGACGCCGTCCCCGACGAAGGCTCCTGGAACAATCCCAAGGTGACGCCGGACGTGTTTGCCACGGTCAAAGCGTCCGGCTTCCGCAGCGTGCGCATCCCCGTGACGTATGCGGACCACTTTGTAAGTGGCAGCCCGGCGTGGACGATCAACAGCACGTGGCTGGCGCGCGTCGCCGAGGTGGTGCAGATGGCCACCGACGCCGGCTTGTATGTGGTGACCAACATGCACCACGACTCGTGGCGGTGGGCGGACGTGACCAAGGAGGGCGCGAACCAGACGGAGATTGCGGAGAAGTTTGCGGCGGCGTGGCGCCAGATTGCGCGGACGCTGGCGTGTGCGCCGTCGTCGGTCGCGCTGGAGCCCATCAACGAGCCGCCGGCCAATACGGCCGAGGACGGCCAACGGCTCAACCACTTGAATCAGCTGTTTCTGGCGGCCTTGACCGACGGGCACAACCCGCAGCGGGTGGTGACGCTGGTGGGCGGTGGTGAGGACGCGGAGAAGTCGTCCTTGTGGTTCGAGCGGCCGGCCAACACGACGACGAACCCGTGGACGATTCAGTTTCATTATTACAGTCCATGTAAGCCCATGACGTGGACGAACAAAGCGAGGGAGGATGGAGGACGGCGAACGAGCGGAGCGAGTGGGTAAAAAAAAAAAAAAAAAAAAAAGAATATATGTAGCTAACAACGCGCAGACTCCTTCATCTTTGGGGCGTGGGGCAAGACGATCTGGGGCTCCGAGGACGACAAGGCGGCCGTCGTGTCCGACCTCACGGCGATCCACAACAACTTTACCGATCTGCATCTCGTGCTCGGCGAGTTCGATGCAAGCCCGACCAACGTCGAGGCCAGTGCCCGGTGGCGGTACACGGACTTCTTGGTGCGCACCGCACGGTCGCTCAACATCAGCGTCATGTATTGGGACAACGGCATCGACAACCTGGACCGCGCGGCGGAGCAGTGGCGCGACCCAACGAGCGCCGACCTGGTTGTCAGCGCGGCCACCGCAAAGCCGGGCGTGGTCAACAGCCTGCCAGCCGGGACGACAAACGACACGGGTGCGGCGGCCACGACACAGGCGACGTCGGCGTACGTGTTCCAGCGCGTGGGCGCGCCGATCACCGACCAGGCACTGCCGTACCTGTTCAACGGCAACAACGTGACGGCCATCCGCGACGGCAGCGCTGCTCTTGCGGCCGGAAACGACTACGCGGTCAACAGCACGCACATTCTCTTGAGCGCGTCGTACCTCGCCAAGCACTTTGCTCCCACCGCCCCAGCCGGCATCCGGGCCAACCTCACCATTGTCTTTTCCGGCGGCGCCGTCGCCATGCCGCTGCAGCTCGTGCTCTGGGACGTGCCCGTGCTGGCCTCCACCACGTCCGTCGCCAGCCTCAACACCAGCGCGGACGACGATCTCGCCATCCCCGTGGCCTACAAGGGGCTGCCGCTCGTCGCTGCCGTCCGCCTGACGTCGCTCAACGGCACGGGCCTCGTCGACACCTGGACGCAGTACCTGGGCCCGCTCCAGCAGCAGCGCGCCACCTACAACAGCCACTGGAAGTTTGACGAGGGGCACGTCATCATCACGGCCGATGCACTCAAGACGGTCGTGGCCACGCGAGAGCCGGCCGTGTTCACATTTGAGTTTTATCCGCGCACGCCGGGAAATGCAGTGAACTACACCTTGACTGTGTAGGGGGAGGCAAAAGCTGCAGACATGTGTATACAGGCATGTGTATACAATGTATTGAGTAGCGTAGAATGTATGACATCTGCCTACCGTTTGTCTATGTCTCGTCTCGTCGTCTCGTCGTCTCGCCGCCTCGCCCTCTCCTCATCTCATCGTCTCATCACATGCCCTTTCCAGTTCGGCCCGCAATTATGCTTGCGCCGGCGCCACCGAATCCAATACATACTTTGTTCCCACAAAACACGGCACCAGAGAACCCGGCACCGCCTGCTCGTAGTCGTACTTGAACCGCCAGCCCGTGCAGTGGCCCGGCAGAATGACGGTGGGCGACAGCGCCTTCAAGTCGGCGACCGTCGCCTGCATTTTCGTCGGGTCGTTGTCCGCCATGTGGAAGCCACCCACGACGGCGTGCAGGGTCTTTGCGCCCTCGTCCTTGGCCGGGAGGCTCGCAACAGCATGCCGGCAAGCATTCACCACGCCTGCGTGGCTGCACCCCGTAAACACGACCAGCCCTTTGCCCTTGAGCCGGCACGCCACGAGCCGCTCGTCCTTGATCAAGGGGTCGGGCGTCCACTCCGCCGTCGCATTCGTGTAGCGCACCGCGCCGCGAATGCCGCCCTCGTAGCTGGTCTCGCGCGGGATCTCGCCCGACACCCAGAAGAAGCCGTCCCCCACCGTATGCGCCTCGGCGTGCTGGTCCACGACCGCGCCCGCCGCCGCGAGCTCGGCAAACGTCGGATCCGCCTCCAAGGAAATGGGCGGCCGGCCGGGGAACTGCACGCCCCGGAAGTCGGGGCGGTCGGGGTGGACGTCCACCACCACCTTGTCGTCTTTGTTGTCCTGGCTGCGCTCGCCGGCCTTGGCGGCCTTGGCGGCCTTTGCCGCAATGATGGCACTGACAGCCGTTTCGAGCCCGCCCGAGTGGTCCCGGTGCCAGTGCGACAGGTGGACGACCTCGACGCCACTCACGTCGGCCTGCAGGCGCGCCACGTTCCGCGCCCACACGGCGCCCTCCGGCCCGGCGTCAAACAAGAGCGTGTGCTGCGTGTCGCCCTTGGTGGCCGTGATCAGCAGCGACAAGCCGTGGGCGGCACAACAGATGCTGTCCATGCGCAGCTCGAGGGCGGCGTCGCCGCGGTCACCGTGGGCGTGGCCGTCCTTTTGGATCGGCGTCAACTGGAGTCCGCGCATCTGCCCGGCATAGTGGACCTCTGGGTGCAGGCTGGGCGTGATGGGGTCGAGCTCGTTGTCGACCAGCACGGTGACTTCGATCTTGTCGACGTCGATGAGGGACATTGTGGCGGTGGGACGGGGTGGTGTTGGTTTGTTGGTGGTTTGTCAATGTGTTTTGTTTTCGTGGTTTTTGAAGCTTTCGTGGTAATGTTGATCAGCTGGTTGTGTCTGTCCGGGCGTTGTATTTATATCTGTGTTTTTCCGAGACAAACCGGAGACAGACAACCACACGTGAAACCGAGAGGTTGACGCTAACGCTGACACTCACGCTGACGCTCACCAGTGACAGTCTAGATGTCGAGTCAGGTTAGAGTCTCACATTTCATTCGTCGCTTGAGCTGAAAAACCAGATTCGGATTCAAGATCCATGTTGTAAAGGCCGTACAGCCGTGCAGCCCCGTAGACTGGCTGTACGACGTCGTCTCTCCAACCTTCCATCCGCGGTGCAGGATCGACAAGCGCGTGCGCTTTGTGACTTTGGTCTGACGTTGGCAGTGGAAAAATGTCGATCGAAGTTGAATGAGAGGTGCAAAGGCTGTGAGAAATGTCAGCCCTGGTGCTCACTTGCTCCCTAGCTCTTACCGTTGACGACAGAATCTCCACACATTTTAGCAGGAGCCCCCTGGTAGCCCTAGCTCGGCTGCAGTTCTGCAGCACCTTCCAGCACCTTAATTCATACAGCACCTTACAAGAGCTCTCAGGCACTCGGAAATACGGCAAAAGACAAAAGGTCTGGCGTTTTCAATTCAAAAAAAAAAAAAAAAAAAAAAAAAAAACAACCGTTTGTCATGGCATGCCCAAACACCGTTGAATCTACGGGGATTCAACGGGGTTTCACCGCTTCTGTCAGCCAGGCCTTACTAGCGTGCCTGCTGGGCGCGGCCCGCCAGCATGGCCGCCGCCAGCCGCCAGGGCCCTGGCCAATTGTCAGGCACCTACAGGCCCCTTCCACTTACTTATTATTCGCCAGAGATTCTACGGTGCATCGCAGAGTGCCTATACACTCCCCTCTATAGCTGGCCGCCAGCCTCTAAGGCCAGGGCGCCTTCTGCGTTGGTGCCTTAGGCATGCGTTGATTCAACGGGGAATCTACGGTGTTTCTACAGATAACAATATAAGCTCATCCGAGCCCTCTCCTCTCGATGAGGCGGGGTAAGGATTAGATTTTGCACATCCTACTACCTACGTTTTGGCTGTCTTGCTTCGTGATCCTCTCTCTATTGAACCCCTATCCCTAGGACCCTCTGACACCGTTATTTGATTTATCTATTTGATTTATTTATTAGTTTATTTTATTTATTCAATTTTAGTTTATTTGTGGTTTTGTGAATATCTGGCCGATATACCTTCGGCTGAAACAACAAGGAAGAAGAGCATTCTCACAAGAACCGGAGCAGAACGGCGACTCGGTGTACTTCTCTCCTCTCCCACGAGTTCGAACAGTGCGTTACGGATGTAGGCTCCCTTTCCGGTCTGAACAGCCAGCATCGAGCTTCTGAGAGGTCTTGAACTGCCACCCAAAATGCGCTAAGTCCGTTAAATCCTGGGTGCTTTGACCAGTTCTGTCCATCGCCCTAGGCACTGCCACAGCGTGGCTTATCACCAATGTTCTCTCCACCATCAACATGCACTGTCAACGCGTCCAAATTACTTCAGGGCCTCGGGCTTCACAGCTTACTCGTAATTACCCAACGGACAGACCACAAATGCAACGACGACGGCGTGATCGATTCGACTCCAAAGTCACTTTTCACTGAACACGGATGGCTTTTGTTTTGTCGGATGACCCGACGGCGTCGGTTTCTAATACGAACTTGCCAGACTTGCACTCCCAGCCTTCTTTCTGCCTCATCCCAGCTCCGATTTCCATTTTCCGCCTTCACGACTTCATTCCTCCCCACCTCGCCTCTGCTGCCTCTTCTGCCCTTCTGCGCGTCTCTTCAATGCTTACAAACCTAGACGACCAATACTTCAGCGCCACGGCAACATAACGTTTTGTTTCTTTTTCTGATCCCTGTCCATTGAAACTGCTGTGAGCACCTTAATTGACCCCGCATGTTTCGTTTCCCGCGCGTGTTTCAGCCAATGGCCATCCACGCCACAACAACCACGGACACTGCACGGCGTTCACATTGGCCCTCGGAGACTTGCTATTTGGCAGCGTCTTTGCCTGTATTCTTTGATTTGATGTGTCCTTCTTGCCCTACAGCAGCCTCCAACAGCTGCTGAATGGCGCCCAGTCCTCAAAGACATGTCCTACGTCCTCACTTGTCCTCCATTTAACATGACACGCCGTCTGCTGGTCGCCGTGCAGAAAACCCCCGCCCCCTCCACATATGTGGGACGGGCCAAGTGAAAGCTGGCCATATTGGCATCTCGGGTCATGCATTCTCCTTGACTGTGTCTGGCTGTATTAATAATGCATGTCGCACGATGTATTATCGTCGTTGGTGCAAGTGCGGCGCACCAATGCCTTTGCATGTTCAGCTCCCGCTCCGCACGCTGATCGACTCACAACACACTTTTAAGTTGATCCATCTGCCGGCGGTCTGTCTGGCGGTGTCCTGTCCGTCTTCTTCCTATTCGTTCCGTCCGTCAATTTATTGTCACCTTGAAACTGTTCATTCTTGCCCATTCTGCATCGACGTGCACTGGCACATTGTACATCAGTTTGCTCTTTCCTCGTCTGTTCTTTCCCATTTTAGTTAGTGATTAGTAAACAACGCCGGACAGCCCAATTAGACGAAGAGACAAAAAAGTACAATATGCATCATGTACCAGGCGACCTGGGAAATGAAACGAAGGTCCAGTAGGCCAGGTACCGCCACGGCAGGACCCCGACAACCAACCAAGGCTGTATCCCCACTGAGGTACCTTGTGCACGCCCGCATCGACGATCTGCTTAGCAATGCTCAACAGGGACACAGATTGTGCCGTGCCCGGTGAGCAAAGTCCGTCCCTCGGCGGAGAGTCGTGTCGTGGAGCTTTGTCGAGCAATAACACGACTTTGTAGTTGAACGTGGAAAGCAGCGCAAGCTGGCGGACTTCCACCTATATATATCGTCGGACCTCTCCCCCTTGGATCACCTCATCTGATGACGCCATCACCCATCCCACAGCTTTCTCACCCCTCCCTTCTGCAAACCACCGTCAGCTTCTAATTGTCCAATTCGCACACCAGCGTCCCGTTCCCTCAGCCTTGTCATCCCACACTAGCCTCGCTTACGCTTCTACTCTTCCGTCCCATTTTTTAAGTAAAAAAAAACCCCCCGACGTCCCAACTCCCACCACAATGGCTCCCATCACCCTCTACGACGTGTCCATCTCGACCTTCGCCCGTGGGCTGGCGACTCTCAAGCATATCCTCGAAAAGGCCGCCGAGCATGCCAAGACCCAGGGCCTGGACGCCGACGCCTACGCCACGGCCTCCCTCATCGACGGCATGGACGGCCTCAACTCCCAGGTCCAGTACTCCATCAACACCGTGAAGAAGTGCATCTGGCGCCTGACCGGCAACGAGGTCGAGAGCTGGACCGACGAGACGACCACCTTGCCCCAGCTGATTGCCGTCACCCAGCGCGCCCTGGACCTGGTGCAGGCCGTCAGCGAGGCCAGCGTCGCCGGCAAGGACGACACCACTGTCGAGCTGCAGATGGGCAAGACGACGCGCACCCCGTCGGCCAAGGCCTACGTGGTCACCTACGCCCTGCCCAACTTCTACTTCCACCTGCAGACCGCCTATGCCATTCTGCGCGCCAAAGGCGTGCCCCTGGGCAAGACGGACTACCTGGCCAGCTTCCTGGCGTAGGGAGTGATTGTGTGATGTTTAAGATGGAAACAACTGGGTGGTCGAGGTGGAAATGTGTGGATCAGGTGCGGATGAGATTTAAGTCGAAAAAGAAGTTAAAAGTAACAAAAAAAGTTAAAAAAAGGAATGAAAATACTTGATTCAATAA